TAGAGCAGGCGTGGGCAACCCACGGCCCGCCGATAGGTTTTGTCCGGCCCGCTAATATAATTCATAGTTAGGTAGTACTTCATAGGGCTCACAAGTTTCAAATTCTAATTAATTAATTAATTAATATCATTATGTTACACGTGCAGCATCTAGTGGACGTGATCCGAAGCTTCCAAAACGTTTGAAAGCCTAGTTAAAGATGCATTTATTGTTTCAGAGATACCGCCAGGTATTTTCCAGAATTTTCCTCGCGATAATACCGGGTGGGGCAATACAACGACACGTGCTTTAGAGATTAAGAATCTTAAGAGCATAAATGAAAATTTGGATACAAACTGAATATGGGGATTTATTATCCACATCTGTTAAATTTTGTTTGCAAAATCGTGTCAATTTTCAGTACTTATTGATTTTTTTTTAAAATAATTTTTACGAAAGCAAAAAATAGATCAAGACCAAAAAGAAATAGATACTTAAATATTGATTTCTTTAAACATACTTTTTATTTGGATTTTCAAGTGTGGCCCGTGGCGCATATAAAAAATTTTATTTTGGCCCCTTGGAAAAAAAGGTTGCCCACGCCTGCCTTAGAGGAAGACCGTATTGATTTGTACCATAGGTAATCATCGGTTCCATTTAAGAGATTGCGTAACGTTTCATTAAAAGTAATCAAGAAAATATTTAAAGGAATCGATCATTCGAAATTTTATTGTCAGTTCCTTTTTTGTTGTATTTTTCTTTTGTTTTATTCTTAAAGCTCAAATAAACTTTATTATTATTATTAGTTAAAGAGAGAATATTCCTATAAATGAATTCAATTTTGTTAGCTATAAAGTGCTTGTTTTTTGTATAAAATTGGCATATACTTTATGCTTCAATGGTAGAGCGTTGGGTTATAAAGTCGGAGGTCGGGTGTTCGAACCTGGACTGAGGTAAAAATTTTTCATCTGTGATAGAGATGGAAATTTCTTTAGACCACTTTGTGCTGTAAATGGATGTTCTCTGTTGAGCAATAATAATAAATAAATAAATAAATGAATAAATAAATAAATACATAAATACATAAATACATAAATACATAAATACATAAATACATAAATACATAAATACATAAATACATAAATACATAATGTATAATATGTATTGTAATCTTAGGTTTAGTTGTTAGTAAACACTTTAACTGTAACAATTGGCGCCCTCCACGTGTGGACTATCGTCAGCAACGCGCTTCAACGACCCCCACGCCCATGCAGACAAGAAGCGGAGAAACCGCCGCCGACGCTGGCCCAGCACAAAACAGCGACACGGTTACAGACGTCCCGCCACCAACAAAACCAGCACCAACTTACACAACGCCGAGTTTTTAACCAAGGAGGAGAAGACAGAGTCCATCCATGCCTTGGTTCAAAGAAAGGCGAACATTGAAAAGGGATCAACCCCAGAATCCGTCGGCGTCGGTTTTTGCGCAGGACCAGCCAAGCGACGCTGCTGGAGCTAGCGAAATTTAGCAGCAGCATCGAGGCAGATAACAAGGAGATGAGCAAGTCGATGCAACATAGCACATATTCTCGTAACGATCACAACCCCGGATATCATTTCCATCGTGACTGCCCAGTACGTCTCGCCGATCAAGGAAACGGAGCAGCAGCGGCCGGAACTTCCAGCCAACAATACAATTCATCCGCTCCGAACCCAACGCCGACATACCAACACTTTTGGTTACCGTGGCCGGCATCATAGTGCATGCCCTACTTGACTCGGGATATGCGCGGAGATCCATTCACCGTTGGACAACCCCCATATTCCACCCGAAAGCCAATCGCGTGTAGAATGGAGTAGAGAGTCAACAAATTATAATAAAAACAAACAGTTTATTTTCTCCATTACGAAGCATTATTATTGCTTGTTGAAAGATCCCCGTAACTTTGTGTGTTTTGATAGATGATTCCATCTATTGTTGGAATTTAACAACGCAATTTTACCGCGCAATGCGTGTCAGTTCTCATTCTTCTTTTTTTCGTAAACCGTATCGAGATACACTTCGTTTAATAAAACAACTGAAAGCGGAAGTTAGAACGCATGGAATTTTAATTGCCATCATCCATATCTATATATTTATCTCTAGCGAATGGATTCATAATTTGGGGATTCCGACGTAATTTACGTATACCGCTTTATAATGAAAGAGAGCAGAACTTATATTCCAGAAATAAAGCGCTTTAAAAAAAGAAACAAGTGTTCAAGCAGATAAAAGTCGAAACGTTACAGTGTTGCCGGCTCTAGAAATCGTTTCCGATATACTTACCTATGTATAGAAAACCGAGTGAACGCTGGTTTTGGGATGGATCCGTTTCAGAACTTTCAACCGGTGAGGTACATAAGTGAATATCTAGTGGGAGAGCGGCATTCTTACTCAAACTTTCGAAGAGAATCTATGTCGGTCAAGCGCTACATTTTTTCGATCGCGTATGGATTCTTAACCGAACCTTCACAGTAACACCGCCAATTTTACATCGCGTATAATTCATTCGCTTGGCGCATTTATCGATCGGTACGCGTTAGTCGAAACCATCCGGAGACACACAGAGGCACAACAAAAATTCCATCAAAATCCTTCCAGCCGTTTAGCAGCAGTTCAGTCACACACACACACACACGTACAGAAGAATTTATTCTATAAGAAGTTAAACGAGTTCGTGCCATAAAAGGATACGAAATAATTTTTAACCACGGTATTGTATGTGAAATGCTACTTCAAAAGTTAAAATAGTTACATAGTTACCGTATTAATACGTGAACGAACATTTTTTCTTTGCGGTGCATTAGTAGATTAAGTTGTTCGTAGTTAAATAAGTTGTTACCACGAAGGCGTTGGAGTCCGAGGTGTAAAACGTTCCGTTACACCGGATTTGTAGTGGCAAGTTACGTAAAAAAAACAATTTATTGATCAAATTTGTGCATCTAATTTGATTATACAAGATGCTCATAATATTATGAACAAAGCGGCTACCGGTAAAAGATTAGAGACAATTAATTCAAGCTTCTGTTGGCAGTTAAAAACCCTAAATTACAAGGGTACATTTTTGACATTTAGACAATGTGGAAAATCGGTAAATTACTAATGCGAACAACTCAAAGTTCAACTGATTAAATCAATGTAAACCCTAAGCACGGTTTTCCTGAATCAAATTCGTCAAACATTTTTCAAAATTAATGTTTAATAAGTAACCCGAATTTATGTAATATAAGTACCCTTGAGAAAACGAATGTCAAATAAAATTGAAAGTTCAAGTAAGTGAAGTAAGGAAGAATTCATTTATTAAACACATGATCTACAAGCCAGAGAATGATTGTCAACCTATACTCTCCATTTTCTTCCTCTTTTTAATATTATACTGTTCTTGATGTCTGTACGAGACGTGTTTTCGAAGGGCGTCTCGGCTTCTAGATACGTGAGGACAAGATTGACACATATAGCATCCTTCTTCGTGCGTTTCCATGTGCACCCTTAAGTTGTATTGGTTACTCAGGTATTTCCCGCAAAGAAAACATTTAAATAGCAAGTCTTTGGTTTTTTTCGACGGCGCACCATCGACGTTCTCCTCCTGATCAAGTTTCGCTTTAAATTCATCTGCAAATTTTTAATCAGATTCCTAAAGAGAGTACTCATTTACTTACTGCACTCTTTCAGTTCGATATCTTCATTATCGACGTCGTTTTGAGGTTTTAGCACGGGGGGTAAGAATCTGTCGTCGCTATGAAGCTGGTGATGTCTTGGATACTTTGAATCCGTTAGTCCAACCCTATCGGGAAGGGCATAAGGTAACTGCAAAATACCTATTATATTAACATTAATTAAGGTATTTAAAAGAAGAAGGTTATAAATTAAAAAATGCCGATAGTTAAAAAGAGCACGAATTGGAGGTCTATATACTACACTTTTAATAATTTGTACTGAAAAATTAATTAACATAACCGATTCTGACCCCCCCCCCCTCGTCAAATATTCTGAAATAGCCACTATATTGGCTATAGTTTACTAAATATATATACATTTTATAACAAAATTCTTAACTGGTATCACTGGCATAACACAACATTCCACCAAAAAATAAAAAAAAACCTAGCTGAAATCGGTTTTGCGTTTGGTCCGTGTACATAAGTAAAAATCGGGTGGGAAAGAGGAATAATTCTTAGCCAAACTTTTCAGGCAAATCTATGCAGACCCAGCGCGGAATTTTTCGATCGCTTATTGAAGACTTCGCCAAGCCTTCAATGCGAAACTATGTTCGATCTGATGCCGTATTTTTGAAGTTTAAGAAAGTTTTGTGATCCGCGTAGTCGCACGTGATAAAATAAAAATAAAATCAAGAAAAACTGTACTACCGTTTCCACGAAATTATTGTCGTGGGAGTGTTATCAATTTCTTCGAGCTTCGTTGTGTAATGGAAATTAACTGACAGCTGGTTTACGTTCAACCGTGAATGCAATGCGAATTCGATTACGGAAAGTTTCAGAACTATTGAGAAACTTTCCAGAACGACCTGCAATCAGAACTCCATCCGTTACAGAGCAATCATTTTCAGGTACTATCCGGAACTCTAATCGAAGTTAAAGATACTACTAACCAGGAACAGTCACGAATATTCCTTTAGCACTTGAAAAAGCCTCTTTTTTATTACAAGGTTCGCTAGAGAAAGATTTATGTACAGAATCCAATTAAACTACAAGAAAATCTGTGTCGCCAGAAAAAAACCTTTTACAGAAACTTTCAGAACTTTTGAGAGCGGGAACCCCAACCAGAACTCAACATTCTTTAAAAAATGTGCATGAATACCTTTTTGATATAAAACTACATTACGGAAAGTTTTAGAATTAAGGAGTGGCTCTCCAGAACTCTAACTCTGCCCAAGAAGCCCCCTGTAGAAGATTATTTCATTTTAAGTTTGCCTATCGTTACGATAAGAGTTGCGGCTATCGCTAGAAGTTAATTAATTTTGTAAACAGATATTGTCGTAGGTGCGCGTTTAGATAAGAGAATTTTGTTTATTTTAGCTAAAGAAGTAGGTAGGAAGCGGACGAGAGGGAAATGTGTTAAAACGAGGAGGAAGTGCCGTGACCTTTTGCCGTTGGCGTTTGGCCTATAAGTACTTCATGTTAAATTGAATAGCGAGGTTGAGTCAATGAAAAGCCGTGAGTCACATATTCGGAGAAAAGTTTAAATGTTATGTATTAAAGAAGTGAGGTGTCTGAGATGAATTTAGTTTAGTGTTTGTGTTTTTTGTACGCGTCTGTTTAATGGAAATCGCAGTATAGGACTGGATATTTGGATTATTGACATTACAAGGTAATTAATACTTTATTTAATTTGTTTCGATCGAGCGCTTGTAGCGTGGTATTCGTCTCTGGCCCTGAGTGCCAATTCTTTTTACGGCAATTATCGAATAAATTTGTTTTGTGTTTAAATGAACAGTTTTGTATCAGTTTGAGCTCAAATTACGATCTTTGATTTTAAAAGTTTTAAAAGAACGATTTTAAAGGCACATAGAAGGATTTTGGAGAATCTTTAAAACCCTTGGAAACCCTTTTGCGATACTTAAAAGTTCGGATCTCAGACAAGATGTAAGATCTCTACAAGGATTTAGACTTTTTGAAGCTATTTGATCGTCTTGAAGATTGTTAGCGTCTTTCAAAGGCTCTGAAAAATTTTTGGTGACACTTAAAAGCTTTTCAGGATTCTTAAAAGTGCATAAGAGCTCCTTAACCCCGGAGATAGGTCCTTAAAAAACTTTTAAAGTGTCTTAAGATGTTTTAAAAGTTTCAAAAATAAAAAAGGTAGTTAAAAGCTCCCAAGAAGACTTTTAATATCTTTTAATGTACTTACTGGTCCTTAAAGTACGTAAAGGATCTCCTGAAAATTCGGATATTGGGTACTCTTACAGATTATTAAAATACCTATAATAATGAGTCTCACAAGTTTTTACAAGCCAATGGTTCTAAAGACCCACAAAGAGCTGAAAACTTTTGGAACGAAAGGTTCCAAACAATCCTTAGCTCTTCAATACTAATAATGGCGTTGCAAGCTCTAAAATAATTTAGAATGCTCTTGGAGATTTTCAAAGGTTTATTGACGTATCTTTAGGATTGTTGGCGATCCTTGCAAATTCTTAAAAGCTATTAACGAGTCCTTCAAATACTAAACGAGTTTTGAGAGCTATTTAAAAGCTCTTCAGAGGCGACAATGTTCTTAAAGGCTTTTTAAAGATCAGATTTTAAACAAAACACTCTTACGGATTGTTAAGGTGTCTTAAAGACTAACCGTTTATTCATGATTCTATCAGTGTCTTTTGGTGACCATAAAAAACTAGCTTACATTCCTAACGACTGCCTCATTTTAAAGAAAGGAGAGAATTACAAGAATTCTAAAAGCTTCTGGAAGTCTTTTGATGGTTCTTTGGGAACTGTTTGACGACGACTTCCTATACCCCATTTTTCATTTAAAGGTCTGGAGGAGACCAAGACAACAGAACCTATTCAGTAAAAAACATACAAACGAACCACAGTATGAATTCCAGTTAAATTGAAAAGGTACTCAGTACTGAATTTTCTTCAGTTCTTATTTAAGCGGCAGAGCTAAGCGATGCAAGTAGCTTTATGGGGGAGTCGATGGTGTCGCTCTGTCTGTCTGTCCGTCCGTGAATTCGGTTCAAACTTTGCACAGTTGACCTATATGCCTATTACAAATGGGTCAAATCCAATGACCCCATAGGGCGTAGGGTCACACCGAGGTGCTCTGTCGCTTTTTTAGATCTGCTTTAGGGGTTTATTTGGTTTCTATGTTACAGACAGGTGGTACACATGCATTTAAATGAACAGAAAAGGCATCAAGCTACACACAAATCTTACTTTCATATCACATAATCCCTGAATTTGTAGTAGCTTCGCCAAGGATAACAAACCGGGTAATTGGTTTCTAGTAACCAGGCACTGTCCTCGGTATATAAAGGATATAATAGATTTTAAATCGCTGTAGCTTGTATTATGAAGAATAATCACAGGATGTTGAAGGGAACCAATGTTCTACAAGAAAAATCCACTTTAAAAATAGTCGCACATCAAACGCGCTGTCTATATATAACTCATACATATGACTAGGTATAAATTTAGACGAAAGGAAATAAAATTTAATGAATTAATCTCAACATACCTGAAATAGTTGCAGAAAATAGGAACTACAAGACGCTAAAACAATCCTGTGCGCCTTTACTATTTGGTTGTCCGCCGATAGGGTAATATCGGTTAATATGTCCGATTCGAGCAGTTGAGGTAAATTGCGAACTAACGTCGTCTCGTGGTAATGCCACCTTAAAATGAATTGTTGATCTTCCATTTAATTTCGCACATTCACAAATGATAACAAAATTTTATATACTGACTTGCAAAACTTCAGTCTACAATTATCCAGCTTGAGCTATTTATATAACAGAACTGGAAAATAAATAAGTGCCAAGGATTTTGCTTTACCTATAAATATTTAGCTTACATTAATTGCACGAAAAAAAAGTATCCCCCGCAGTTCTTTCAATTACGGGGGGTGCTAGTTTATTATAGTGAGGAGTTTTTCCGCTTTTAACAGATTATGTTAGTCAATGGGAGTATTCAGTTGCAAGAGGTAGCATCTGCAATGCAGTGGACTCATAATTTCTATATTTCTTTTCAATATGGAATGTAGACGTCTCTTGATGTACCTATAAGAATACATAAGCTGCAAATTTAGCAACAACATTACACATGACTGTAGGAAAAATCGCCTTCAGTTCCATAAATTCGCGCCGAGATTATATGACTTACAGGAAGTATACAGTATACAGTATCATGTAGAAGTAGACATAGGGATTTCTTGTAGGAATTTCCTATGTCTACTTTTACATGATAAAAAGTCTTCTGAAAGACGCCTAATTTTATGCAACCAAAGTAACTACCTACAACCAATGAGGATATGCCTGTCGTATTAATTAATTTGAATATTATCGCTTTGACTTCCCTATTCTAATTTGGGTTTGTGTGCGATGTATTCAACTAAAGAAAAAGTTTCCAATTGGTATAGTGCCGATTACAGTTAAAGAAGCTTAAGAGATTTATTTTCTGTGAAGCTAAAGCAACAATATTCAAATTAGGAATTAATAGGACAGCCAGATCTTTATTTGTTTCAAGAAGTTATTTTGGTTGCATAAAATTGGGCGTCTTTCAGGAGGTAAAAGTAGACATAAGAAACTCCTATAGGAAATCCCTATGATATGTCTACTTCTACATAAATATCACTGTTTGTAATGTTTAACACAGTAAAATCGGAAATTCTGCAGAGAAAAGTACATACCTACTTACCAAAGGCGTAACTTAGTCCTAATCTGAGAACCCGATGACGTTTTTCAATCAGGATTTAGTAAAAAGGCCTTTTTTGTAAAAATGGAAATACATCCTTCTATTCAAAGGGGAGCCCGACCAGGCAGCACTTAGGCACACCAAAGGCCCATTGTGCCTACCTCCTTTCTTTCGCAACTAGGTTCAGAGCCCGTTCCTCTCAATGAAGGATAGGACCCTGTTTATCCTAAGTTGCTTCACCCGCCCCGGTTTCAGATAGCTGTCTCCAAGGAGTTGATTTTCCGGTTACGTACATTAAAGAGTGACCTTGTTTTGTGGCGCAAGACGTGACCTGGGATTTCTTGAGATTTCCCTGGTGAAAAAAACCCTGGTTATGTGCTTGAGCGTTATGCATCTTTTCGGATGGTCGGATGGCAACGAGTTTAATGGCACGACGCGAAGCGGAGTGCCTTTAACGTTGCAAGTGCGTTTGAAAAGCGTTCCAGACTTCTAGCGATTAAGTGCTTTCCAGAGAGTATTTCGAGAGTTTCTTCTTTCTGAGCCTTTTCCGGTCCGGAATTACTAACTTCGACGCCACCGATCGATTTGCTATGCACCTCGAAGGCCGGCGATAGTAGGCCGCCAGGTAATTTAGGTAGAATTACGTGATTGATCTGATTCAGATGGTGTAATTTTTCAAGGCTTGGTAGTCAAATATGACATAGATATTTCATACGTACATAGTAGTGGATCCAAGTAGATAATAACGAAAAAGTAATCCAGAAGAGAAAATTAATAGAAAACTATAAGAGAACAATGAGGGAAGATAAAGCTCTAAAAAATCCGTCTTAGGAATAATGCTGAGTCATAATCTTTACATACCTCACACAAATTACGTACAAATATAAATCCACTAAGCGTATTAAATAAGTGAAGTAAAAGTAATCGCGTATCGAGACAAATTTGCAGGTAATCATTGTGAAAGCCCGATCTTCTTTGCGGGAAAAAAATACAAGTGTACGCAAGACCAAATTGAAGAAAGGATAGGATTAAAACATCTGTACGACCTCTGCCGGCGAAAATAAAAACTATTGTAAATGAAATCTATAATACCGGATGGAGTCTAGTGGCAAACTAAAGAACTAAGTTAATAACAAATCTACTACAGGAATAACTTACATCAATAATCCCATATCCTTAGGAAGTTTGGGTTTACAGGTTCTCAGTTTCTCTCAGAAGTGTGTTTAATTATCCTTTAATCATAGGTTGTTTGCAAACTTTTAAAGAAACATTGGCAAAAATTTCATAATAAAAAATATTGATTTATATGTTTTACAATGTTAGACCGTTTGTTTTTAGATCCCACACAGTGTCTCTTTGTAAATGTTTAATGAGATTAAGAAAATCTCATTCACCTTCAATATTACAACTATCTGGTTCGGTCCGGTTTATCGATCGCTCTGAAGCGATGTAAATAAAAATGAAACTACGTCTTATACTGTTCGCTTACTAAAAATTGATACGCATTGATACGACACTGTTCTACTCTGCTCTGGGTCATTAGATCTTAAATGATATGAAGGATAAGAAAGAAATCAAGTGGCATTACAAACAATTTTCGTAATATGTTGACATTTTTACGAAAAAGATCTTTCCTAAATAATTCTACGACCATGCCTTCCGATAGCACTACAAAGAGTACCATTAATCCTTATATTAATTTCCTGAAGGAATCACAAAAGAATGAGCGCCGTCCATTGGAACACCTGAGGCAGATATGGAGAGGAATGTCAGCCCAACAAAAACAAACCTACAAGGTGAATAGAACGCTTTCGCGTAACCCGTACTTTAATTTCCGGAAGAAATTCATAAGGGAGAATCCAGGAAGTTCACATAAAGAGGTAGGTCATAGATGGAAGGAAATGTCAGACCAAGAAAGAATGCCGTACAGGAAAATGGCTAAAAGTGCACCTGTGATCCGGAGACGTAGAAGACGAAGTTAAAGTGAAGATCATATTAATAGTTTATATTTGGAACTTAAATAAATTATTGATGTGTTTCTTGTCGTTCTCGTTTCGATATTAGGTATAATTTTGAATTGACGAAAACGTCTGCAGCTTCGTTCAGTACCTGAGGCGCGTTCGCGTGAAGAAGGGAGTGGGAGATTTGCCGGAAAATTCAGATCAAGAGGGAAGGTTACTTATGGTCTAAGATCTCTCAAATCTTTTTTTTTCCATATGCGTTGTAGTAGGTACGTTTCCAGCTACGAGTTATGCATGGTTATTACTAAATAGCAGAATAGCATTTGTGAGTAGGTACCGTACCGAGTCATTTATTCACCGCGTCTAAATCTTCCTGAAGGACTTCACAGCAATCTGGAGCAGAGATAGCTTTAAATAATTTTATATCGTCTACATATCACGGAAATTTAGCGACCTTTTCTAGGCTGCATATAGAGAGAAACACGTAGTTCTATTTTTCGTAATATGTAGTAAAGTAGTTAGTTGAAATTTTGTAAGGGCTGTCAATTCGAGTTATTCGTCTTCCCTGCCCTAGGATCTGTCGATCTTTTCCTCCCAGAGGTTTGTTATTTCTGGCTATATCGCCACTAGTCGATGCGTCATTCTGTCTTCGTTCCATGTTTTCCTCCTTTTCTATAACCCAGGTTCCTAATACGTGCTGTACAGTCTTTGAATTCTAATTTTATATTCAAAGGTACAGTGTAGTCCAATTATGATGGGATTACATGGGTGACTTTTTTATTATATGATTTTTTGGAAATTATAGTTTGCCATGGTTTTAAAAGATTATTGTTTTACAAGCTTTCCTACAATGTACCTATAATACATATCATTCTTATATTCAAATAAGTTTTCTATTATGAATTTTGCTTATTAATAGGTAGGTACATCTTGTCTGAAAGTAAATAACAAGAAATGGTCAACTATAATTTCTATTAAAAAATCAACTTTGAGTTGCAACGCAGCTACTAAAAGGTCTAGAAACAGACGACTGAGGGCATTGATTTCTAGGTTCAACAGTGCCCGAAAATGCGAAAGCGATTTTGTACAGATGTGCACGCCCTTTTACCATCACTAAAACTAACAGCCGCCGTAACCTCGTTTTTCTTAATGAAAGTTAAGGAAACGCATCCGAAGGGACGCCGAGCTAGCGGCCGTTGATGGTTTGGTATTTCAGGGGAACTCGGCGGGTCTCGAATGCGACGCGCTCGGACGGACACCACTTCCACCATCAAATAAACTACTTTCCTTATAAATTTTCTAATCAACCGCCTATCACAGTTAGATTAGGTAAACGTTAACCACGGCAGAACGCGCCAAAACGTCTCCACCTCCCCAATATGAGACGCGTAATTCTACGAAACACCTCATTTCTTAACAGAGATAAAAAACGTGCCTTAATTAATTTTGGCATGATATAACTCCTTACCGCAAACGGCCAGATGTGCCTTACTTCTATAACACGTTAATATGTAAATTGAATAATTTTTGCGAGAACGGTAAAATAACGCATTTGCAAAAAGCAAAAAACGACACTGGGATACAAAATTCAAACCAAATGAATCAACTTTGTGTTTATATCGTAAACAATCTCCAGATTTGCTTATTAAATTGAAATATTCTCATATGTAGGATGCCCCGTCATTATTTTTGGTGTTTAGAGCGAAATAACGTCTACATAACGTTTACACAACAATATATTAGAAAAAACTGAGTTGAGATGCACTTGCGCAGAAACGGAAACTTATTCGGCATTCTTTTTCTTTTCGTCCACTGTACCTACGTGTTGGAAATTAAAAAACCGCAACCTTCTAAAAGAGATCCGAGTGCTGTGATTCCTCAGACGGTCTGACGGACGGACAAAATTCATGCAGATAGCTGATGTATTTTCATGAAATATACGCAGCGGAAGAATATGTAGAAGAAAGTATTACTTTAAAGAACCGTATTTGGGTATTTCTCACATGATTGCCAGTCCTCCCGACCCAGGTGAAGAGTATAGGTAGGTACATTAGAAGGGAACCAATATGCTTTGCATATTTCTAACATACCACAAAACTATAAGTGGGTTCATCGATAAACACATCTGTTCAAACAAGTATCAGGAGCCGATCTTCAATTGAGAGAAGTTTAGGGGTCAGCTATAACTTAGGGAAGATTAGAAAATTATATTTAATTAATAACAATTGGAAGGCAGTCACAAAAATCATAACTCCAACTTATTCGTTGTTGCGTCAGATCAACCCAAGAGTGAAATATTTCGCAATACATAAAGGGATTTAAAATCATGATACATCCATAGGAATCGATTGGAATCGACCATGGTATTTTGGAATCGACCATGGTATTTTGGAATCGACTGTTACAGAGATTCAAAGGTGCCGCGAAACGTCCGTCTTTCGACTTGAAAATTAGATGGCTCTGCTCGTAGTTATTTCCCCATTGTTACCAACTGTAAATATAGGGTAAGTCAACATTGCAGCCCCAGCTTAGGAGACTTACAGCTTGTAGCCTATTTTTACAAATTGGGATATGGGCTCCCGGGATAGGGGCCTCCAAGTTTAGAAGTGCCAGGGTGTCTAAGATGGCTCTGGGTACTATACAGTCCAACATTTTTTTTTACCTCACTGATCCTTAGACCATATAGTACATGATCCAGTCCGAGCCGACTGCTACGGAAATTCTAATGCCACAAAAGGTTCGCCGTTATGACTTGAAAGTTAGGTGGCTCTGCTCATAAGTTTTTCTGGTTTTTCCCCAGAGTTCCAACTGTAAGTATAGGCATTGACTTTATTTCAATAGCATATGCAGTCAAGATTGCAATAATAATAATATTTGTGCTAAAAATACATTACTGTATTTACACTTGTCATATTTAAAAATAAAACAAATTAAAATTAACATCACAGCTTGGAGGACAAAAATTCATCGATCGAATAAAAGCTACCAGTTAGCAAGATCTTTTTAACATCAATTCTGAATTTATTTAAAGAGGCAGTCCTTAGCGTGTCAGGTAGATGATTAAACAATTTGGGATAGTTGGTTGAATTCCTACTCCTGTCGAGTCTTAAGCGTTTTATGTTAATTAAGTCTTTGGTACGGGTGTCGTGTGCATGAATGTCATTTTGAGTCGTATATACATGTACGTTGCCAGCCAAATGGGGAACCCCAAAGAACATTACACAGGAAACAAAAATTCTAGGAAAAAGTGAAGTGCACAGGATGAGACTAATCCTTAGTGCAAAATTCAAAGTTTAAAGTACGGAGTGTGCAAAACTTGGTGCATTGCAACTCATGTTTTTATTAGCGAGCTACTACCCCTGGAACTTGTAACTTGTCCGTTGTGTGGGATATCCAAACCTAAAGTCGAGATCACAATCACAGTCTGATATTGTGGGGTTACAATATTTCCTCTCTATGACTCTCAATGTGAAAAGTAAGTTTACATACATACAAGTCCATACAAACAATTCAGCCTTTTGCATATTGAAACGAATGATCAGACATATATTCATAACACGAAATTGGTTGGAAGTAAGTACCTAAACACGTTTGAACATCTTTTTCACTATATACAATTTCAATGAACAAAATAATCTATTGATAATAATCCGCTTGCCATTGGTGTCTGCCTAAGTAGTAAATGTTCATAATCTTCATCTTATATGTGTATCCTGTAACATATACATGAACATTCTTACCGTTTGTATCAAACTGCTCCAACTGGATCATGTAAGTGCTTTCGTACCTACTGTAAGTTGATTGGGAACATCAAAGACCAATTAAAAAATTGTTAAAAACGTTTAATCTAACAGATTCAACTCACATATACTGTTTTCTACCTTTCTCAAAACTTGCACAATCAAACGGAAAAAATGGAACTTTATAAGTTTAATTAAAGTAATACAACAAGTTGTAAGAAAGGGTTGGCAGTAACGCTTTTTGCTAAATTAATAATAGTACTGGAAAATAAATGACAAATGTACAATCATGTTAGATACAAAAATAACAGTTTTACCAACATTTTTAGTTCTCGAGTAAAATTCTTTTACTAGAAACCAAATTAAAATCATGTTCAGTGTACTCGCTATATTTAAGAATCACAGCTGCTTTTAAAAAATACATCTAGAAAGGTGTCTATATAATGGCGTTAAAAAATGATATCTACTAAGAGAGGTATGGTAACAGAAATATTTAACTATTGTTTTAAAAGTATTCTAATTGACAACAAGGTCTCTAAATGTTAAATGTGCCTGTTACATACAAATGAGGGAAATTAAAATTCTACAATTCAACAGTGTGCACTTACATAATAAGTGCACCTCATTTAAAACTACATTAACTCTACTTGTTATTTAACAAAAGCTTCGGCCGGTATCGTCCCTTGTTTCTGTAATTCGGTGAAAATGAACGCGGCGCGATTGAAGTCCCAATTTGTTTCCTCCAAACATCTGCAAAGAAATAAGTTCCTTAACCTCTCCCATTTAGTATGTTTGCAACGATTTACATAATTATAACATTCCATTCAATAGTATAGATTCAAGATTCGACCTTGTGGAACACCTATTTTGATACTTCCGAGTATATCAACATTATTCACCCGACAGGAACTGTCATACTTACTTCTGTGACCACTCTAAATTCATTCCGGATTGTTGAGACATAGTTTGAATCATTTGCTGTTTCGTATTGTCGTCCACCATTGGCACTACCGGTGGAATGGCGGCAGCGGGTGGTGCGGCATTTAATTCCGGTGCCGGTTGAGGTGTTTGAATAATAGGTGTTTTGAAGGCGAGCTGTTGTATAAAATTTTATTTTACTGAAATGCAATCAAAAATTGTGTCCTTACCTTTGCTTGTTGTTCGGTAGCGTTGGAGACGTGCAACTGCTCATTCGCTATACAAAATCCGGAACCGGCCGGTACAATAACTAATGATCTAAAGAAATGTCGTATCGGAGCAGTTTTGTGGCCACTACGCAGCTCTCTGAACATTCCGCTGACGTTTAATAACAACAGTTGCGGCTAAAATTAGGGTGAGATTATAATTGGGTGTCTTAAATTAATTATTCATACGACAATTTCAAATAAAAAATGTGCGCAAGACCATTGTCTTGAAAATGGCGGCATGACACTGTAATTTTCATATATTGGTTTCTTGTGCCAAAAATAACATAGGCAAATTATATCTACTGGGTCCCTATTAAAGATGGAATCAAAGCTCTCACGCTCAAACCGTTTGAGTAGACATGAAAATTAAAATGCTTCCATTTGAATTATTTCACATATTTTGAGGTAAAAAATTTGATTTGGTTTTTGAATGCGACCGCCATTTTGAATTTTTTTTAATGGCTACATAGTCCAAGTGATACGTAATTAGAAAGCTTATTTCTTTCTCGAAATTTGACATTTTCAGTTTTCCAGTGGTCTCAGTCAGATTTACCAAAAATTTCAAAAAAATGGTAAAATCAACATTCAAAAATATTCACTCGTTTAAGGTAAGAAAGTTATGAAACCTAACCTCATTTTTTTTTAATTTTTAATTTAAAATGTTGCGTCGCCAAAAAAGAATTCTTACCTTTAGTTATTCCTTTGAAATTCCTTCAAAGATCTTTAATACGCCCTGTATATAACTATTTCCTGTCCCTGTATAGTCTGAACTTGCACAATGAATCTTTTGGTAAACGTTTTTGAAAAAATCCTTGAACACGTCAATTTTTATCTTAAATGATGCATATTTTACTGTCATTATCACTTAATGATCGTCTTTAATTTTTGAGATATGACGCATCACGCAAGCGATAATTATTATAATTAAGTATTAATGTTATAAAAACAACTATCTCGAATATTTCAAAATACAATAATGTACATATACATTTTTAACGTACTTGGTCTCAGAAATCCATGGTCTTTCCAAATTCAGCATAAAAAATAGGGTTCGCTTTACCCACTACATAAAAAATAGCATATTAATTTATTCAAAAATATAACACTAAAAAGACCAAAATAATCAATATTGATTCGAAAAGATTTTTAAAAAATTTAAAAGAAATTGAAGAACTTCAAAACAAATTTTTGAAAAGAGATCTTTTTAAAATAAAATATATAAGGTGTTCCATTTATAAAAATTCAGTTAGGTCCGATAACTTTCTTACCTGACCTGAAAACAACCGAATGTTCACCAATCATCGTAAAGAAACTTTTATAATACACACTTCTCTAACTCATCCAACTTAGAAAATTATTAGAGTCATTCTGAGATTGACAATTTTTTTTATTTTCCCCCATAATCTCTTACGCGAGTGCATATTTTCAAATGTTGATTTCACAATTTTAAGTTTGACCCAAAAACTGTTGAAAATGGGACACCCTGTACATGTACGCTTAAGATTAAAAAAAAATACTAACTAAGTATTACTAGGACTTCTTCAAAAAATTACAAAATTCACATTCTTCAGTTTTTCCAAATCCTTCAATTTTATACTGTTACACTTGCTATTTTTTCGTTTTTTTTTAATTCTTGAAATGCTTCAAATTTTGCAGACCGATAAGACTTCAAATTGTTAATATTCTTCTATTCTATGTGTTTTCTAATCTCAGGATCTATGCAAGAAAATGTATAGTGTCATACAACCTTTATAGAATTTACCTTTGTATAAAAAAAATTAAATGGCAGAGGCGGAGATAAAGAATAAACAAAACAGAAACGATTTTGACACTACTGTTGACAGCTGCAAATCGTAAAATAGTCTTTCTGCCAACACATTTCATTGCATGCAGATCTCCAAGTCACTTTTTAATGCATGAACGCCAAGTTTCTGATATTTTTGAACTTAGTTTGAGAAGATAATCTGCACACGAGCACGCATCAAACTTACCGTTGATATATTTAAATCCACTGTAAAGCTGTGGATATCATGTTTCGATTGGGGCATTTCAGACAAGAAAGAAACCACAGCCAAATTGCCTTGCTTCAGCAACTTTAGCCGCCTGTCGTGGTCCTGCACGCGCAGTATATTTCTACTGTCCGTATTATACCAATTGAGCCAGCTCGAGTTTTTAGGATTCTGTCCGTACGGATACGCCGAGGTCATCGAAAACTTGGCGTCCTCGTGATACGCTTGCAATAGCGGCTGCCGCGAGCCGCTATCGAATACTTGGAAATACTGCTCCAAGAACTGTCGGACGATACCTTGAGCCTCGGCATTGCAAAGGTACGTCTGAACGCTCGGGGGTAATCGTACCTCTTCGGCTATGTCGAAACCGATCGGCGGCGGTAAGTCGATTCCATCCTGCAAGGAAAAGTGCAATTTCCCGACGGCTTGCTCGATACGCTTACCAGTTTGATGACCTTAGGAAATCGCTTTCTGACTTCGCTAGAAGGGGAATTAGCGAGCGAGCACGAGGCCCACACGCCACATTAATACCGCATAGCCTATAAAATATTTTCGCAACAACAGTAAAAGAACATAAATTGACTATGACAGTCTAGGCACTCTTAATAATCATACTGCGGACAATAAAAAATAAACTGCCTGTTGATCTTAAAGTTACAGTCTCTAAAAATCGTTATATTCGATCCAAGTGCAGTTTGGTGTAAGAAATCGTTCAGACCTTTCTTTTTTTTCCCATTTCTTTTTTTTATGGAAATCATGATTACCAGTCAAACAGCATGACTTAATCAAAAATTTGCAAGCAATCACCCGGCCCGTTATTTTTATGTATGTATTACATTGGAGGGCAATGGAGACAATGTCGAACCTATGTCATAGGTTAAGAAAAAGGTCTATACATAGACACTCCAGTAGCGGATGTGCAGCATCATTTCCCAACACTGGGGTATTATCGGCGATATAATGTGAAAAGCCTAGTCTTGCTGTGCTATTTCACTTGCCTCTCCTGCTTTTGCCTCAGCTGTTTTATACACATTTTTATAAGGCAACAATTGTGAAAGTTCGCAAATAAGAGGTTGTGTTACATTAAAACCAGAATCATAATTTCCTTTTGATTTTTTTTTACTCAGGGATTTTTTTCTTGTTCTAAGATCCTTGCGACTCCTTACCTCAACTACTCTCTAGAAATCACTAACAACGATCCCTAGAAGACACGCAGTTAGCAAAGATTCCTTAAAGGCGCCTATTAATCCATTGGCAGCAGTATTTCGGTTCGCATTTTCGAAATGTGGTCAATGTTATGTTGACAAAGAGTAAACAGTGCATTTAGTAAAGCACTTTAAAATAGAACGGGCTCACCTAATGTATGCTTCTCGTTCCCTGAATTTGGTGCAGAGTGGATTTCCATCGAGAACCACCTCAACTATGGGTAATCCGGACAAAGGGTCGAGCATTGTCATTTCTCGTATCTTAAATAAAATAAGGTCTCACCACCTGATTCGTACATTTTCAATCTTAATTTTTTTCTGCTGATCATACCACTAATTGTGTATACAGTGCGCTCTACAAAAAGGGCCCAAGGCTATAGCGATTTTAACTATGATTTAACCTTAGATTAGGAACGAGTATGCATACCGCGTATGCCGTACAGCCTGTGTATTAATCGTGTTACCTTTTTAAACAAGTCAGCCATTTTATACAGTGAATTTTTTTTAAATGTGAACATAGGAGTTTGCATGCAATGTAATTTCCCTATGTTCGATTTTAAAAAAAACACATCAATCTATGAGGTGTGCGCGGTTCACATTCCCAAATCGTGCAACTTGTGTGACTATGAACAGCAACCGATAGTCTTTATGATGAAGAGCACTCGGTAAGATTTTTTTTAAATCAGCCGTGTGAGGCCATAGCAACTTTAGGATAAATTTACGATAACTTACGATAACTTGACTTCACATGGCACGCGCTGACATCGCAATTCATTGTGAACCAACCTTCAATTATTTGTAGGCCATGCGCACCTGGTATTCTACTAATTTGATTTATTCAATACATAAATGAAGAAAATAAGAAAATAAATAACAAAAACAATTACAACAAGTGTTCGAACTGGCCTCCTTGACATTCTAAGCAATAACCTAACCGATTTCATAATTAAATTGGACGGCGGTATTTTAAAAAATGTGACAGCTGTCGATTGTATCTACTACTCATTTGAACTACTCAATAGATTGATGTGTTTTTTTTAAAATCGAACATAGGGAAAATACATTGCATGCAAACTCCTATGTTCGCATTTAAAAAAAATTCACTGTATGTGGTACACATGTCATTTAAGTTTCATCGTTTTTTATGAGTTTTTGCGCTTAAATTGGGAGGAAATACACAAAAAACAACTTAAAATCATGGTGAATTGTGCAGATTGTGGATGCAAAAGCCGGAGTGAGAAGGAGGAACCAGGAATTTCATTTCAGACGTAAATATTGAAAATGTGCCTAATGCCGTTACCACGTATTTTCCTATTTTTCATCATAAAGCTTTTTCCTTAAATATTCTTCTTTAAATATGTTAAAATTTATAGCTTAATGAATGATTATACATAATTTCGCACAACAGAACCAATCCCATGCATTCAAATTTTGATAACAAACGTCTTCAGGGACGGAATTATTCAATAAACTCCATAGGCGTAGTCATTAGCGCGTTTTTCAAAGAGAAAATTGGTACGGGAACAGCTTTTACGTGAAGAATCAAACAGAAAACAATGAAGATTCATATTTTACTACAATCTTTAACTGGAGGGACAGTTAGTTTGAAAGGCAATCCCAAAAAAAGAAAAGAGGAAGTTTCATTTATACCTGTGTCTGATTAATAAATAGCGCAACGCACTGTGACGAAGAAAACTGGAAGGAAATAAGAAACCCAGCACTACGGCTCCAGCTGCTCTCGGTGGTAGGGGTGGTTCGACGATCCTGAAAGAAATAGCTATAAATGCTCCGAAAATTTAGGCGCCACTAATTTTTCGATAGTTCCAAGCTGTACAGGAAAAAAATTAGAAACCTGCTCCTGTTGGTCTGGAAATGCAGGGGTAAAACTATAAAAAAAGAAATAGAGAAAGATAGCGGGAAAGAAAAGGTATTTATTCTTCAAGGAAATCAAGAATTTAACACAGATATTGTAGGGCGAATGATGATGATTGATAATGGCACGGAATGATAACAGGGAAATAACGGCAAAAAAAAAGAAAACGATACGAGATCTCGTCTCACAGTAAAACAATAAAATTTGACTAAATTACTTATTATGATGTAGGGTGGCTGAATTAATGTGATGGGTTTTTTTTTTAAATTAACTTAACGGTTTTTTTGTTTTTTTTTAAATGTAAATAGGTAACTTGAACTTAGCTGTTCTGGCTCCTGAAATTGTCCAGCAGTTGTTTGGCGGACTTGGCGGTGGTAGACCAGTGGCTAAATACGGGGCAGATTAAGGATAGGGATGCGGGTAGAAGGGAACAAGGAAAAAGAAATTTGAGGGTATCGAAAGAAGATTGAAAACTGAAGACGGACGAGTGTAGATTGAAGACGGACGACTGAAGATTGAAGATTGAAGACGGACGACTGAAGACTGGAGATGGACGAAGACGAAGATTTCTTAGTAGTAGATGGGTACGTATAACAAGTATAGACAAGAAATAACTAAAACTACAAGGCCCTAGAACAACCCACCCAACATTACAAGCTAAAATTATCACAAAAAGGCTACTTACGAGATGGTGTGGGCCTTAACGTAGAGACAATATATAGATATGTATGCTCAATTAAATTGGTGGACGGTGAAATAACCCTCGGATCCTAAGAGACAACGAAGAAATAGAAAAGAATACAGACAACAAAAATACTTACACAAGGGTTGAAATCCGGCGAGCAAGGGTAACATATATATATTGGTTGTAAGTAAGTTCACAAATACAAATGCGCTTCCTCTTCCACTCTTAATCCCCAAAATAGGGTTTCCAAGGAAGAAGTACCAATGCCTTGTAATGAGTGGAGACTATCTGACGAGGGTAGAAATCCCAAAATTGTCGGATAAAAGCGGCTGCAAAAATTCCGCACCTCACAAGCACACCATACAATTGACAATTGACCAAAACGGAAACGAAAACGTAGAAGATTTTGAAAAAAAACGAACAGTAATACCAATAATTAAGGAACATAAAAAGTTTGCGGGAAAAGAAGAATAGATTTTTGAAAAGAGCGGGAAAGAATAGCGTAGCTTACAAGAACTGACAATAGATGACACTGAAAGCGGACCAGAGGCGTAACATGGAATAAAATAGTACACATAAGCTTCGAAAATTAGAATAGTGAAAACAGTAAGGAAAGAAGAAGTGTTTAAAGCGTGAAAGGGTAAATACAATTGTAAGAAGAGAGCAAGAATCCAAAGAAGCGAAGAAATCGAAAGAAGAAATTTAATAAAATAGGCACGCCTATGTGATGAAAATCAAAACAAAATAAACAAATTCCTAACCTAAAAATCAAAATAACTAAAGCAAAACTTAACTAAAAATGGACCTGTAACAGCACGAATTTCATTCGTATGTTCAACGTGTTTTATTATTAGTTAAAAAGTAGTTTGTTTTTTAGCTACTTCTGCTACTATTCGCATTTAGGGATGCTACGCCACTGGCCAATTTCATTATGTGGCAGATGGTAACACTATCGCTTGTGAATTATGCGTCCATATTCTTTCCTTGTCTAAGGATTTAACCATTATCAAACCTAAATCTAATTTGTTGCGCAAAAAACCCGTTATTTATATTAATCTATCTATAAAATATAAAAATCAATATATAATAATATATAATATATTATATAAAATATAAAAATGAATCGCCGAAATTTTTGTACGCGCATCACTTCAAAACGACTGCACCAAATTAGATATTTCTTTTTTTTCTGTGCTTGCGTTATCGAAAAGTGATGCTCAAGGCAAGCAAATAGGAAACTCTTTTCTTAAAAATGAAAGCAAAGAAATGCACGCAAAGGATGCAAACGTTAATAATTAATTTATGAAAATAATCGTCAAGATATAAATATAAATTCGTACCTACCTACTCTACATCTGCTTTAAAAACATCTCCGCAAATTCTATTTATAAAAAGGGCAAGGTTTGCTGTGACTTTAACAACACAGTCACATGTCACAAAATTCATTCCAACCTGTGCTTCTGAGGACGACCCAACATGCAATTAAGCCATAAAGGGATTAAATTTACCAAATGTTTAAGAAGCAATTTAAGATTTACTATAAACTACAGCAGGTACGACGAGGTTCTCAGTGCTGCGGGCTTTCTCTCGCTTGGGGTAAAAGTCAGGGTCGGATAAATACAGGGACGGAGATAATTGGGGGGGAGGGTGCAGGATTTTCATTATTTGGCCAACTCTTCGGAAATAATTGACCAATTAGTTGGAAAGAAAATCTAGAAACTGTGTCCCTGATAAGGATGTCTATCATGGAGATCGAAACCATAGAAGATACGACAATGGTCAAATTAGAGAAAAGATGCGCAACTAAACCATTATTATCGTGCTTTAGAGAAAACAAAAAAATTCAATTACGAGTATTTCCGAAGATATGACAGAAAAACCGAAACTTGCCAATTTTATGTTTATTTTTTGCTGGTATTGTTTGAACAGATACAACAACAAAGACAAAAGACACTTTCTCATTGCCACATTTTGAACTCTACAAGACAACACCGCGCACAACTTGCGAGCATACCTATCGGGAAAATTCCCGGATGCACCATATATCCTGTTGAAACCAACAATTTCCAACTTTTGTTTTTCTTTGTGTGAAAATATTTTTTGGGAACAAGAAAACGGCAGTTCTAGGTTCTAATGTAAGCCCGAGTGTCTTAAAATTATCGTCCAAAAAGTTGATGATCGAGTTCAATACTTCACAAACTTCCTTCCGCTTTGAGGTTTCGACTACATCGGAGTAAAATGTAGAGTCCGCTGGCTTTAAACGGTTATAAAAAAAAACTACCCAACCGATTTATTATTTTTATCAAATAAAGCGTAATATAATCGTCAACTATTTCTAGCTATCCGTACGTAATGTCATATTTCTTGTTAAATTTGGGAAAATGTGATAGTGAAATATGTACGGGAAAGCGCGCTTTTTCAATGAAAGTATACGAACTCAGAACTTTAGGATTTAATTACAAAAAAAGTATTCACTCAAATGGGATAATGTTTACGTATGTGATAGAATACACCTTTAACTATACGTCCATACATTTTTATGCATTTCTGTATAATTACGCAAACGTTACAGCGATAAAATGACAGACGCATTTATTCGCTTATTATAAGATACACTTTAAAAAGTTTTGTTCATATCGATAAAGGACAATTACAAATGATATGATTACGGAATAGAATCAATGACAAAAAAATGTGAAGGGCTGCAGGAATTTGACGTTTAAACATTATCATAATAAAAACAAAAGAATAACATCAAGCGAATTAATTTTTTTTATCAATTTGCTACAAGTAACTAAAACATGGAATATCTCGGAAACCGTTTGAAGCGGCTTTTGACATTTTGTATCAAATTAAAGGTCTGGGAAAAAGGAAAACAACGATGAAGAACAAAATGGCGGGTGCCATTTAAAAAAATGGAGTTACCGAAATTTAAAAATTTAAAAGTTGAGAGCTTTGAAAAAGTGACGTAGCCTCACTTTTTTAGACGATTTCGTATACCATAAGAAAATTCGATCTTTTCTGAATAAAGCATTGAAAACTGTTTTGCAATATCTCTCATCGTTTTCGAATAATAAATTTTTAAAATTACCCCTGCAAATTCAATTTTTGACATAAAAACTTGAATATCGACAAAGCCCTTGGAGCAAAGGATCAACTATGGGGTATCGTTGTTCTCCAAATTCGACGTAGAATCCGATAATGTAGAAAAATAGGGGGTCCCTATTTAAAATAACAAAGTTGATGGCTACTTCCGGTGTTTCCGGAAGTGGCGCCATCTTCAAAATATTTTAGTTCAATTCATCATGTGTCAAAACCCTTAAAGAACTTATCAGTTTATTTTCATTTTCAAAGGTTTTCCATATCTTTCCAACTGACGCTCGTCAAGAATGACCCTGTATATCTGATGTGTATTCCAAATGACATCATTTTTTGGTGCAAATATAATTCGGGAAATGAGTTTCAATCCCAATTTTAAGGTATTATTTTTTCTGTAACCAACATCATACACATCCATCCCAACATGTAACCACGAATACGAAAATTACAAACACCCGTGCGAAGCCGGGGCGGGCTGCTAGTATCTTATAATTTTAATTTAATTTCACAAAATTGTGATCTTCATTATAGTTCTTTACGGGAAATGTTACGCTCGGTTATTAACATTAAGTAATTAATTTAAGTTTTGATATTTTCATAGAACATGCTTCTGGTATTAATAGTCACTTAGTAATTATTCAAGAGGACTGATAGATAATTTTTTCTTCTTCTTATTTGTTCGTTTGTCTGATTTTTTTTTGTTATTGGTTTCGGTAGTTTAAGTACTGTTATCAACATTACTAGACATATTTTTTATTTTTGGTTTATATTGAACTCTATTGTACTCTGGCAGGTTGTAAAATGTTGTTTTTGCTCTGAAATTGGAAAGGTTATGTCTTTCTGTTGAGCAAATAAGGGATTATTATTAAACCGCAGACACAAAAATAATAATTATAAACCTGGATAAGTAATTTCAAAAGAAAAAAGTGCATTTCGCCACCTAGAGAAAAAGATATTAAACTTGTGGGATCGATACTTCTGGAATACATAACTGTTAGGGGTATACTAACCTTAAAATTTTTCAGACTTCCCTCCCATCTTGAGATACAGATACACTTTGAAAAAGAATGGTACATTGCAATTTTGAGGTCATGCATACAGTTCACATGTTTAATTCAATTTCTTGGTTAACTAGAAGAACACGAAAAAATATTTCTTTATTTGTGATCTTGGTCCTTTGGACATTTAGATATGGTAATAATAATAATGACATTTATTGAGTACAGATTATACAAAGAACAGATAGTACATTACATTACATAATGCAGTGGTCCTCAAACGTCGATCTCGAGAATTATTTGCGATTTTCAGAGCAGACCTACACCTACCTTGATTTAAAGAAAATGGATTTTGGGGAAAACTAAATTCTACCGTTTCCACTAATTAACTAATTCTATGTACAGTATTTTCATATATCATATACTTGCAGTCTCTTAGAGTCGATCGATTAGAGTCTAACAACATTGAGGTAGATCGTCAGCAGTTCAAGATTGTGAGCACCCCTGACATAAGGGGTGACTTAAGGGGGGATTAACACCAAAATGTGAGGTTAATATAAATTCAAATTTCAAATGTACAAATTTCAAAATATTTTTACTTTTTTCGTAAAAGATAATTCGTAACACCTTCATCTGAGACAACTACGTGATGAGATACATATTTCGCATTAATACAAAAGAAAAAAAAATATTACGTAACCTTTAAAGGTACACCACTAAATAAATATCAAATAGTGTAGCAAACTATTAGTGTCTTGTCACAAGTAGTACCCTGAAGAATGATGTAGTATTTTGGTTTCGGATGAAACTTACTTATTTTTCAAGTTTTGTACATTTTAGTGCCTGATCGCTAAAATGTGAGTTGCCGCCATCAAATTCCACATGTTTTTCCTGTAATTTAATTTGTGGATTTCGTGTAAGATGGCGCTGTTAGCGTGTAACTAAAGTCTGTATACAATATGGACGTTTAGGTAACGCAGTGACCTATTAACGAAGAATAGCAACCTGTAATATACTTACATCAATTTATCACATGGATATTATCGCCAAAGGCTGACCTTGTTCTTAGAGATAAAGGTGGTGTTTTGTTTGTTATCGTAATTAGATACGTCCTACATTATGCTACAAACAGGATTGTAATTTATTCCACAGATCATTTATTCTTGCTCTGTCAAATTTTCAGGTATACAATACATCACCTGTTACTGGCTTTGTGTTTGGATTTATTTTGGGATTCTTATCAATATACTTGATTTATAGTGTGTATAATCAATGTCAATACTTATATACATAATATATTGGTCAACTTTTAATGCTCTGGTTTTATCAAGGTCCTTGGGTTTTATAGAAATATTTTATCATTAACGACCCTCGCGATCGTTTATAATTTTGTATTGCTGTCCGTCTGTCTGTCCCTGTGCACGATAACTTTGTGTAGAAACGTCCGATCGCTTTGAAAATAGACACACATGTTCTTCAGGATATAAGAAAGGTCCCTATTGTTTTTTGGCTATGTAGACTAACGGGCCAAAAAGTTACAACCCAAAAACTGCCCAAACCTACAAAAAAAAGGGTTCTGTTATAATTCTTGTTACAAAGAACATATGAATATCCGGTTTTCTGTGTTAGTAGATGAATTTTTAAAAAATTGCGCATGTGCAACCCAACTTTTGTATTTGAGCAATCCCATTTTTTTTATTTGTTATATTTAAATGAAATTTTGTATGTATATGCACCTCCCACCTCGTATAAAAGTAAAAGTAATGCTAATTCAAAAATTTGTTTTACAAGCTATGCTGATCTGGTGGAACAGAATCAATCCCTGCGTTGTAAAAAAGATGCATGTGCGAAGATCTCGAGAATCGTTCGGTATTCAGTTGTATCGGATTTTTTGGTCTAATATTGAGGCTAGAGTGGGGCTCTGATATGTACCACAATAGCGATAATCGGATCTCATAAAACACTTATGTTTTTACCTCTTAATAATGCCACAGATAAAATCTCAATCCCCTAAGAACTTGATTAAGGGTGGTGAATGGGGGTGGGGCTGGAAACAAGTTTTTAATTAAAAAAAGGGACATTTTTTAAATTGCAACCAGTACTTGCACGACGCAGATAAAATGTGTCGCTTTGGACATAGATTTTTTAATCTATGTCTTGGGGCTACACCCCCGAACGGTACCAAATTTGCGTTTCTAATTACATTTTCTTCTTATGAACACAACAAGTAAGACTCTCTGGGATTTTGGATGTATTCTTTCTAATTTTGTATTTCCAAAGATGCACCCTTAAACGGGCGTGTGAAAAGTCTGGTCCCCCCAAAATTTTATATTTGGAACTGCAATTGCGGACAGTTTCTTCGTGTGACTTTAAAAAAAAATTATGCGCACTTCATCGTTGAAATAACCTAAACATATTGCACCAAATGTTCGTCTTACAAAAAAGTGGTGCGCATAGCGAATATGGCAGAGGGCAGTTCTAGCGCATTTTCCAATACATGTTGGAAGGCGCTATTATTGCCACTTTCTCCGTCGGTCCACTCGAAGCTGCATCTACTCTTACAGTTTTCAAGATATTTAGTTCGTTCTGTTTGCATTCGGTAGCTTAGGGTATAGTAACAACCAAGAACCAAGAAAATTTACACCAATTGCTTGCTCCTGCGCCTGACCAGCGGCTGGTAAAGTTAAAACCAGTTATGTAGGTATTATTACATATTCATCATCCTTTATATCTCTTTTCTTGTTAGAAACAATACCTACTAACCTGGTACCTACATTTAAAACATAATATGCGCATGGTCTGCGCGTACAGAAGACAACTGTTGATTTATTAAGATATTCGCATGCATTATTACCAATGGACACACAACTAGTAAGAATCGTTACCAAGAATATGTTTTCCGCTTGGCGACATATCGCATATATGGTAAAAACCAGATGTGCGCATACGCATACTGCGCAATGTGCCAACTTTATAGTCATTTCTTTGAAATTAGTAAAGAAAAACAAGGCACATAGTAAAAATTAAATGTGTCATGCGGAAGCTGAGCGATATCATCTTTCTTAATCGGCTATTTTTTGAAATTTTAACCACATGTGCTTCTAGTAAAGGCAAACTTATCGCAGCATTTACCTATACTACCGGCATATCTGCACATGCGTGATTCTACCCAAAAGCTTTTCTGCTCTTTCTTTTAGGTATGTCTAAACATATATGTACCAAATTTGGTTCCAATCGGTTCAGTCGTTTACCTGAAAATGAGAATACCGACAGACAGACAGATAGAGATAATCCAGATTTTGTTTGATTCGGCTTCGTGGTGCTTCAAAACGTGTATTTTTTATTATTTATGCTTCTCAGGTATAAATATTGAGAAAGGTACCTACACCATATGCTGACCAATATATATTATAAGTCTTAAATCAAATGTCATTTATAGCGCAACGGATGTTGTATTGAGAACCGCTGACTCCGTACGGCTGGTTTTGAGAAACTTTCACTCGTAGGGAACGGATTTTTACATTGCATTTCAGGTGCATATTATTAAATACAACTATCGGTCGCGTTATAAATGACGTTTCATTTACGATTTAATAATTTATGTTACATTGCTGCGCATATGGACTATAGTTTACTGACGATATGTACTATATCTTGTCATAGAGTAGTATACTTTAAGTTGTGCTGCGTAAGGCGGACGTGAGATTACAAATTGTGCTGCGTAAAACTGGCTACGTAAATACTTGTACACGTGCTGCCATCCAGTGATGTATAACTTCATTTATTGGGTAACAAAACAACCTTAATGGGGCGAAGTTCGGACTGGAATAAACCATGTTATTCAGTCTGCTATAGTTTGTTTAGTTTTTTTTACTATAATTTTGTGTATTTTTTTTCCTCACTTTTTTGTTGTTGTTTCATCAGTTGTTTCATATGTAACTGCCCAAGACATTATGATTATTATTAATTAGAGAAAAAAAAATAAGAGCGCACAATAAATAGCCGTAAAATTGCATTTTCACTTTTCACACATTTCCGGTCATCCCAATTTTTACTTACAGTCAAGTCCGGCTATAACGAACCCTTACTTGTCTTAGAAACAGGTTCGCTATATCCAAGGTTCGCAATATAAGAAAAGACGCAAATTCGATGGCCAAAGTACAAATCCTCAAAAAAGTTCGTTATAGCCGGGAGTTCGCTATAAACGGGTTCGTTATAGACGGACTTGACTGTATTCGCAATTTTTGTCGCTGTTTGCGAACCGTAAGAAATACAACAAAAATTACAATTGGCCAAAGTGTGCCAGAGTTTGCTCTTCCCAAGAAGATACCAATGACTAATGTGGAACGTGCGACTTACCTTATTATTCCCCAGATGTAATATTTTGAGGTTTGGAAGCTTCTTATCGATTTTCTTAAGATGATTTAAAACTTGAATACGATTTTCGTTTAAATTTAACGCCACCAATTCAGGTATATTTTCGGACATAATGTCAATGACAGTCAATAACATTATCGGTTTGAACAGCGCGCAGAAAACATCTTGGAGTTGCGGATCGGCGTGAAACTTCGTCAGATCTAACGCCTTATTCGCAAGGTCGTATCGATTCGCCATGGCGGCTTTCAATTTTGCTTTGAGCGAGTCGGTAATGTCGACGTTCGGCGAGCCGCTGTGCACGCGAATTGCCAACTTAAATCCGTCAGGGCAGTCGATTTGTCTGTCGAGTGAATTTAATTTATCCGCTAGTTTGTAATCGTCTACGTAAAATGTGGCAAAATTTCCGTCTGTGCTCCACTGAAATGGGATTATGAATACTCAGGTTGTAAAAGTGGAATTCTACTTACGGCAACGGGCGCAAACGGAATTGGTGTGACATGTTCCAGTAATGAACGTAGCACAAACGCCTTGTCGTATTTGTTGCCGTATGGAAGCTAAAATGCACAGTTCATAATTGCAGAAAAGTAAGTTGCGTACATACGGTCACTCGAAACCAATTAGTGGGGCTTTCAAGTAATTTTCTTCTACCACGACCTCCGCTCGTTCCATGTCGTTTATTGCCACGGATAGGTTTTTTTTGGCGTTCAAAGTTACTAACTCCCATATCAATGTCTTCATCGTCCAAGTGTGCACGAAGTGCATTACCCCAGTGCGGGTTCCAATTCTTTTTTGCCGGTTTAAAATGTCCATTTGTGTGTAGGCCAGTACCTCTGCGATGATTGTTAAACTCATTGCCACGTGAGTCGTGTTCTAAAAACGAAGACCTTGCAAAACAGTCTGAAAAGCACAATGTGATTTACTTACCGTTGTTGAACTGCTTCTTCCAGGGTGGATTATTGTACTTTCCGGGCTTGGGCATTTTTAAAACTTATGTGATAGGAAGCTTGATATACGAAAAACACCTTCTAAACTACTTTTATATTACGAAATACGAGTACACGAAACGACGTAAATGATTGAGATTGAACCAGTTTTCTTATTCCAAAATGGCGCACGTGAAACGTTTGCTTGTTTGAGTTACTACGGTGACATCTAGCGAACGCAAATTGCACAAACGACCACCTGCACTTTCAACCAATCAGATTCTTAGGATATTTAAGCGCGAATTTAAACTATGAACGCTTTACTAATTGTAGGTGTTCTATGGTCCCTTTCACCTCGACTTTACAATACAGGCTCTGACGGTCAACAACAATGCGAAATGTCATAGGAATATGATTTGAAAAAAACGGACGTATTATATTTGTAGTCTGTACAGTGTGGCGGAAAAGTATGGAATCAGCGAGCTACAGCCTTAACCATTCGTTATATTGAAAAAAGTGTTAGGTGAAAGTTTGATATTATATTATGCATGTTTTGACGTACCTACACGCAGGGCCGGCGCTAAGGACCGTGCATCCCGTGCACTCGCACGGGGCGGCAAAATGTGAAGGGGCGGCAAAATCTGTTTTAAATAAAATCATAATAATTATTAAATTTCATAACCACCAATAATCACAAACAACAATCGCTTCACATCTGCCTGGAATTTCAGATAAATGACACAGGGAAATGAGACCCTATTACAAACACAAAGAAGCTGTTATATTTGTATTATATTACTTTATTTAGTGTTACCACTTAACGGCTTACTATACCTACTTCCTTTTTTAATTATGTGTAGTCATAACATATCATTTATCACGGTTCACGTCTTTTCGCGACAACTCAATGGTGCCATTGTATTATTCAAAGAAGTACGTATAAATACCTAGGTGTAGATTACAAATTTTCTTAATTTTCGTTAGTGTCCATAGTTACTTCAGCAAGTACTGTCGCGTCGTTGATATTTTTCTAATTTTTATATATCACTTAATCAGTGGATTTCGCAACGCTTAGTATACGGCATAAACATGTCCGAAAAACGACATCGTCTTTCTGGTGCTCAGTATCGCAAACGAAAAGCGATTCTCGAAAATGAAAAACGAAAACAAAGCGATGCGCTAAATAAATATTAAAGATTACAAGGCGATTACGAAACGGAACGTGAATTCGGAGAATCTTCTAAAAATCGCGATAATAACGAAATTCGCGAATCCGAAACACTCGCCGAAACGTTTGTAAATCCTGACGAACTCGATAAATAACACAGGTGTGTTGATTTATCGTATCTATTGTTTATAGTATATAGTTTTAGTCTTTAGGTGAATTGTAAATTATTGGTTGGCGGTTTGGGGGGGGGGGCGGCAAAGTTAAATTTGCACGGGGCGGCTAAATTGCTAGCGCCGGCCCTGCCTACACGGATACTTTTACGAATGACGTCATTTCAAGGTATGTCATGTTGAGCATATTTTTTAAATTGAACACCCTGTATTTGTTAGTTTTTTATGATCCTCTAGACAAGGGCCCATATGAATAAAAAGAAGCAAATGCTTATACTTGCCAAATTCAAAGTAAATACTCGTAATTGCTCCTTCACACTGGGCGATTTAGCAGCGCTGCTAAGTGCTAAGCAGCAGGACAGGACGCAGTGCAGCGCTGCTAAACCATGCTAAATAGACCAGTATGAAGGGGCAGTTACGAGTATTTACTTTGAATTTTGTAAGTATAAGCATTTGCTTCCTTTTATTCATACGGCCCAAGGTGCTTCAAAATGGTATATAGGGTTTTAACCCTCTCAAGTTCCCAGATTTCAAGATATTTGAGTTTTTATATCAATAATTGGCTCTTCAAAAATTACTCAACAACGTCTCAAGTGTCAGTTGTCAGTGTGTCAAGTAAAATCGTTCATTTATCCGAGAAAAAGCGAATAAGTAACAATTTTAATGATGGTTATGGGTATGGCGGAGATCGGATGAAATATGAAATACAATAAATACATACTCATTTCTCAATGTGTTGATTTAATTACTTTAAAACTAATATATCTTGAAATCTGAGACTTCAGAGTGTTACAACCCTATACCATTTTGAAGCACCTCGTCTAGAGGATCATAAAAAACTAAAAAAACGCAGGGTGTTCAATTTAAAAATATGCTCAACATGACAACTTGAAATCGTCATTCGAAAAAATATCCGTGTTCGTCAAAACATGCATAATATAATATATCAAACAACTTTCATCTCACACTATTTTCAATATAACGAATGGTTAAGGCTGTAGCTCGCTGATTCCATACATTTCCGCCACTCTGGATAAATCGTCATCGCAGCGCTAAAAACATGGAATAAGGATTGCATTCCCCATATGTTCCCTGTACTGTGCAAAAAAAAACGATTAATCGATATCTTATCGATAATTATCTATTAATAGTGGATTAATTTTTAAAAAAATGGTCGACTAATCGATAATTTATCGAATATTATTGAAAAATATATCGATTAATTGTGATTTCAAAGGATTGGTCCATAAATCGATAGTCTACCGATTAATCTTGCATCGATTTATCGCAAAAGCAGTCAAATAAGAGCATTCCGGACTTGGCATAACGCTTATAAAATATGATCACAATTCACAACCTACTTTAGGCTGGTTGACGTGAATTAGATACCTACTATTATGCTTAGTTACTGTTTCTGTTAAAAACTAATCATTTTGAGGTTATTGAAGAACGTACCAAATTTTTGAGGATTGTTGTCTAGTTGATCACCTTTGATTTCAGAAAACTACGGAATACCGTATACTTGTTTTAATATTTTTCAATACATCCTGTTTTTATTTAAATTATCAATATCAATACCAAATAAAACCAAAAATGTTAACGAGTGTATGCATTCAGAATATATTTATATCGATAGGATTTATAAAAAAGTATTCATAGTTTTCTCTCGATAATTATCGCTATTCGATTAATCATTAACAATCAGAGATCGACAACTTTCGACATTTGTCAATATAATAATCTATTATAATCGACAATTAACGATCATTATTGATTATTATCAAAAGTTAGCCATAATTATTATCGAAAGTTATCGATCATTATAGAAACTTATCGATTAACGATTAATCCATAATTATCGGATTAAACAGAGTTATCGATAAATCGCCCAGCACTATTGTAAAGTCACACGTTGAGACGAACTATAAGTACAAATTTAAGTTGTCCATTTATTTTACATCAACTAAACCAATACCTTTGAGGACATAATCAAATCATGAACCCACCTCTTAGGATGTAATTGCAATAATTTTCACCATCTATACATATAAAGATGGACTGCGCGTACCAATGCTAAGCGCGGATACTGCAAGTGAGAGAGAGAAGGAAATTGTTGCTTCTTTCAATTTAATTTGAATACAATCAACAAAAAGGCGATAGAGAGAGCTTTCCTCTTAAGTTCTCCCTTCTTTCTCTCTCAGCTTCAGTATCCCATCTCTATTATGTCGATGATAAATAGTCAGGACACGGACACCTAGTGTATATATTTAAACCGTTGCTGGCTGATTCAATCAATCAATCAATCAATCAATCAATCTTTATTTGTCCGTATACCAAAAATAGGTTTTGACACGTCAGAAAATATGGTAAATATTAAATTAGTACAATGCATATATATATATAAAAGGAATAATAAAAACAGTTTAAAATTTCAAATAAATAAAAGCTAGACAGACCATGTGGCTAAAACAGAATATAGATTATAAACAATTTAAAATTTTAGTTAAAAAGAGACAAAACAGAGATAAAATATAAACAAGTAAAGGTAAAAATGACTAAAGAGAATACTACTACACAGGTACAAAAAATTCAAGTAAACAAACAATGAAATAAATAAATATCATTAAAATTATTGAATAGATCTCCAAGGCGTATGTAAATATTCACTAACGTTATAAAAAGAATGACTTAATAAGTGCGCCTTAACGACTCTTTTAAATTTATAAAAATTGTAAGGTTTGATACAATCAGGAACGATATTGTATAAGTCGACCCTAAGACTGTTATTTTTAGACCTACTTAGTTTATAATAGGGCGTTTTTATTTTTTTTGCTCCTCGTGTAGAATAGTTGTGAGAGAAGTCATTGGTTTCAAATTTATTTTTGTTTTTATGAATTTCCAATATGGTGTGATATATGAAAATAGATGGAAGAGGCATATTTAATTTTTTTAAAATAGGTCGGCAGTGAGCACGATAGTCAGCATTTACGATTATACGGATTATTTTTTTTGTAATAAAAACGCCTTGCTCGCTTTGGAAGAGTTACCCCACAAAATTACACCATATTGTAAATTAAAGAAAAATAGCACGATCTTAGGGTGGCTATACAAAGTGATCGTTTTAAATTCCTTAAAATAAATAATGATTTGGATAACTTAGATAAAACTAAATCAATGTGATTGCTCCAAGTGATAGTTTTTCATCAATATATATGCCTAAAACTTTAACACACCTGCCGGTTGCAACCTTATTGTTTGTGGAGAGGGTAATTATGTGAGTTCTATCTTCATTTAATTTTAAGTTGTTCTTATTAAAGCAGGTTATTCCTAATTGTATTAAATTATGACTTTTAAGGGCTAGAGTTTCGATATTTTGGTCCGAAAATCAGTAATGAAGTATCGTCAGCATATGCAACAGCGTGATTAGGATGTATATATTCGAAAAAGTCATTAATGTATATAATGAACAGTAAAGGCCCTAATATGGACCCTTCTACAGGGTGAAGCACTTTAATTCAGTAGAGCAGTTTCACCAGCCACCGCAAACGGAGCACGTTCTCTTAGCACCGGTAAAGAGACACATCCGTCACCCAACATCATGAACACACCCACCTCGGCGTGTCGCAACCATATATATATATGGTCGCAACGCAAGGTGTCGACCTTAGATCATACATAGATGTCGACCTCCTGAAAACAATGTGCTGCCATGTGACCTTAACCGCCTGTAAACAAATTCGTGGTAAAAACCTTGTACTTACAAATACATATTTATTAGCTAGCCATTTACCACGTATCTAATATGTCTTGGATTGCAAGTAATCCGCTAAGTATCTTCCAGAAATTTTGTATAAACGTCTTAAAATGTGGCCCGATACCACAGCACGTCGCATTTATAATGGATGGCAACCGAAGGTACGCAAAACAGCAGCGGTTAGACAAGCAAGTAGGACATTCTCGAGGTTTCGATAAGTTAACCGAAACGTTACAATGGTGCTTGGAATTGGGAATACGGGAGGTCACAATGTACGCATTCAGTATTGAAAACTTCAACAGAAGTCAGGAAGAGGTGGATGCTTTGATGGACTTAGCTCGCGAGAAATACGCCCGCTTGATCGAGGAGAAGGAGAAACTTATGGAGGAGGGCGTGCGAATATCCGTGATCGGAAATTTGACTTTATTACCGGAAGATATTCGAAAATCAATTGCAGAAGCTATGATTATGACAAAACACAACAGTCGATTGTTTCTAAATGTAGCCATGGCATATACGTCACGAGATGAAATTACGAATGCAGTTATAGACATAACAAACGGGGTGAAATCTGGCAAACTAGGTACGGAAGATATAGACGAGGAATTGTTAAACAGCTGTCTGTACACAAATCACAGTCGCAAAATTGATGTACTAATTCGAACATCTGGCGAGACGAGATTGAGTGATTTCTTATTGTGGCAATCTGGATTTGTTCAAATATTTATTGCGGATGTGTTGTGGCCTAACTTTTCAATTTGGCAATTGTTAGGTATGATATTTAAGTACCAAAGAAATTATCGCGAATTGCAACGGGTCACAGTTGAATGTAGGGCACTCGAATTAAGCACAAAGCAACAAGTATTCTTAGATGATTTGGGGTGTTCTCGAATGGGGAATTTAGAGCAGTACACCACTTTGTATACATAAATTTATTATCATAAATAAAATTGAAATTTAGTTACCTACTTTCTGTTTGTTTCCAGCCTCGTTTCTAGCAGTTTGTTAACCAGATTTATTACTTGCACTGAATTTGTATCTTTCATCAAAATATGGAACTAATCATACAGTATAAACTAATTGTTCAATGTGTCTCAAAAAAGTAGGACCATTGTTTATTCAACTTTTAATTTTTACTATACAGGCTGATTCAAATTCGAGGGCCATCACGGCAACTGTAAGAGATGTATAAAATTTAGCAAAGTTGCGTATTTTGATACTTAACAAAATGCAGTTCTGAAACAAAAAATTGCGACTACTTTCGGAAAAAACGAAATTTTGCAGAATCGTTTTTATTTTTTGCCTGAGTGAAAGTAAAATTTCAACAGCAGCTTGTCCTCTTCTATAGTAAAAGGCATTTTATTACGGAACATTACTCTAAAATGACAAAAAAGGAACCCGCCGTAGAAATAATTTCCCTACATTAAAATTGTTTAAAGGAAATTCTATCAGTCTTCACATAAAAGACGAAAATAATAAAGAGAAGTAATTTTGTAACACAGGGATAAATACAGTAAATAATCACAAACAAGCACGCCCACGTTCAGGAATGTGAAAAGTGTAATTAAGAATCGATTTTTTCCGGTCTGAGATTGTTGAGTATCTATTGGTAATTGAATGCGACCGTAACGCAGCCACATTGAGAAGCTTCATTAAACAAAAAATCCCTAGTAGAAAGGATAAAAAGGAAACTGCAACGTGCAGTATGTTTATGTCATTTGTTTAGTTTTTAGTTTTTACAAGTTTCCACAATTAATTAAGGAAAAGCGGAATGAGTAAAAGGTATATACAACAGTAAAAACCAACCTTTTTTTATTTATTAAAAAACCAACGCAGGAGTAGGGGCAAGGAATCTGCCTCGGTTAGCACTAAGGGTAGCAAGGAGCAGGGTGGCCGAGTTAGGGCTTTGCTGACCAGGCTAAGTGCACACGACTTGGAGGGTATAAAGGTTGTAATACGACGACCGTACTTGCCAGATTTACCAACATCGTCTCCACCCGTAATCGAGACCAGTTTGGACGATCCTACTTCTTTAGTCGTTCATAGAAGGGGTAAATATTATAGCTGTTTGTATCGTATTTGAATTTAACTGTGTCTCTTTTATACGTACTTGCTCATGTAGTCATGCGCTGTTTTCTATTTACTGCATTCCATTTCCCCGGTCTCGCTGGGTTTTGACTATTGTGTAAAATATGTAGAGGTGTATGAACTGCTCCTTTGATTTATTAAGTAAGTCATAAGAAAAAGTGACATTTCTTTAGTGCTCGATTGTTTTTTTTGTACCATGAGCAGTCATAGCCAACTAACAAGCATTTTTTACAATTAAAAATATCGGATGATTCAAAAAATTAAGCGTCATAGTTGGCTATGGAAGTGTAATTGTGAATATACCATATAACTTACAATTCACTTAGACATAAATAAATAAATTGACCGGGCTGTCTGGCAAGTTCATTGAGGATTGTTTACATAAACACATTATCACCTCCAACTATGGCGCTGAATTTTATTGAGTCACTATTTTGAAAACGGAAAATTTTTGGAATAGATTATACAAAGTTACCCTGATTTTTTGTGCATAATGATACGGTTTCCATTTTTAAAAAAACTTAGTTACAACAGTGTCTTATTAGTTTTTGAGGTCCCTGTATTTATTTATGATCAAAATTAAATCATTGTTACTTAAGAGTAACAAACAATGTCATTTAGGAAATTTGCAGTACAAACCAAGAGTGTTTATTAACTTTTGATAATGTGTAGAACATTTTAGGTAGGAAAATTTTTTTTCTATTTCGGTGTTACAATGAGAATTTTGTGCAACTGTTTTCGGCAAAAACAGTTTCAAATGAGTTCCATTGTAACATTGTTTTTGGTAACTTTTCATCTCTCAGTTGGCAGTTCGCCAAGACGTCAACGTCAAATCATCAGATGTGAAATCAAATTACGTAAAATTTATGTGTTTTCCTTGATTTTTGGTACACGAAGAACTAACTTAATACATTCCAAATCAGCAGTTTATACACCATAAATAAATTTATCTTCGAATAAAAAATTACACATTCACGGAATTTAAAGTTTCCAAATGCCAGTGTTGTGTTTATCTCATATATATAAGAGAAGATATATGGTTTATCTACGCTGCCAACTTAAAATTTGTCAACGTAAATGTTGTTGCCAACTTAAGACATATTAATTCTAAAGTTTCCTGTAGTTTTTCATAATTACTTTTTAATTAAATTAAAGCCCCGAAATAGAAAAAAGAGTATGAAAAACACGTGTTACAATGCTTTATTGTAATACTCCTATCTTGTGGCCACTCGTGGCTCCGCTTCGCTACGCCACTCGTGCCACAAGATAATCGTATTACAATAGATCGCATTGTAACACTTGTCTTTCAATATACTATTAAAATGTTTAGAAAAGTGTTTTGAAAGTCTTGGTAACATGTAGAAACTTTTTGGAAAAATTTTGTAAATGTTGCAAAATGTGTAGCGTTTTGTCGGTAAGAAACTTAGAAATTGTTTTAAAAATCTTTGAAATGTCTTGGACGTTTTGGAAATATATGTAAGACATTTTGAAGATTTTCAGAACATTTTCGGAAATATTGGGAATTTTTCAGAAATAGAAATATGTAAGTGGGAAATTTTGGATGTTTTTGAATTTGTGTCAAAAAACTTTGGTATATTCAAAAACAGTGCAGTAAATCGAAAACCCCCCCATCACTAAAATTTGTTATAAAACATTTTCGATATTGACAGACTCATACGTTGAGACAGTTTAAATTGGAATTCGAATACAAAAAACAATGACAAGTACGGAAAGGTAATTGTGATGTATTTATAGTTCAACACACAATTGGGTCAAGCTTGCCGAGCGTTAGCCTCATGCAATACCTTGTGTATGTAAGAAATTTGACAAGTCAACATTGTCAACTTTCTACTTTTTACTGTAGATGACAAATGTCTTGCTAGCATTTACTAGGTATTTTGTTTACATTTCTGAAGAGTATTTGTATACAGAAAACAGAAAACATCGTTTATGTAGAAGAATGGAAGACATCAGTAATCGCAAGAACACTTGCAGCATTTTGAAGATACCGGGATTAATAATCTTGTAAGTACTGCTTTTTGTAACTTGTACAAGTAGTAACTGAATTAATTCGTCACTTTTAATTTTATTTAAACATTCCAGTATTAAAGATGTTATTATTGATGAATTAGTATACTTTCACAGTCAAAGTTTTAAAAATCAATAATTCATTTAACAAAGAAGCAATTCAATTTTGATTTTTCGTATTGGAAGATAAGGATCGAAATCTACGATGCAATGGAAGAGACAAGAAGAGAGAAGATTATTTTTGACTTTAAATTTTTTTTGACATTTCATTTTAAAGAAGTATTTTAAAATATTAATATTCAGTACCTAAATTAGTTTATAATTTATTGCTTGTGTTGCTGATTACGTAAAGTAATTTGAATTTCAAAAGTAACTTTAATTTTGATCAACTGAAGAAGAAAATTTAAAAAAAGAAGAAACCGAAGATGGCAGATAATTTAATTGTGGAGCTTATAATTTAAAAAATTGAAAGTAGTTGTGTTTACTCTGTCCTGTCTTAACATAATATTGACTGATTTTGTTAGGTGAAGGAAAGCGTCCGATATTTGACAGAGAAGAGCTCGTGGTCAATGTTGAAGAGCACTTAGAAGAGAGGATCGTCTCGACGTCTCCGGTTCGCACGCGTGCACGCTCCGGGTCGCGAAGCCGTTCCAGAGAGACCTACAAACGGAGTTATAGCCGATCGCCGTCGATAGAATCTAGTCCGAAAAAATTTAAAAGCAGCCAACCGTCAAAAAGTGAGCACTTTAGAAGGCGTTCCTACGATGGCGGGTATCCCAGAAGGAAGGAAACGCGTCGCGAATTAAGCCCGGAACCCGGCACGTCGAAAAGGAGCAAGACGCCCGACAGAAGAGGACGGCAGTATGGTGATAGTCCAAAGCGTTACGAACGGAAACGTAGTCGTTCCATCTCGCCCAAACGACCGTATGATAGATCTAGTACGCATAAATATTCCAGGTAATTATTTATATCTGAAGGGGGCTCGCCATCTTCCGTGTTTTGGTCTTCGGGCCGCTATTCATCTTTTAAAGCTAGTGATTAGTCAATATTTATACATAAATGAAACAAGGATGAGTATCCACTACCGTTTAGTCAGTAGAGGCTAATGGTGTAAGTGCATTATGGCATCTTACATGTACATAAATGTCATGGCCTGAATCAGAATCGTCATTTTAGACCTCGCAGTAAATCTCCGCCAGGAAAACGCAGTCGTTCGCCTTACAGTAGAAAACGAAGTATCTCGCCCTACTCGAAGCGCCGACAACCGTCACCTCCGTCAAGGAAGACTCCAGCGAGGGACAATCCGCCACCTGCTTCCAGCAAAGTTACCAGACGCAGTAGATCGCCAGACGATCGAAATAGAAGGGGATATTCTTCTTCGCACAGAAGGCGCACTCCTTCCCCCTATCATAGGAGGCGCAGCCGTTCGCCTTACAGACCGCGAAGGCGCACGCGAAGCAAGTCGCCTCGACCCACCAAACATTCCAGTTCGTCCGAGCTACAAAGTTATGACGAAACTCACGCGGCGGATTTTTACTACGGGGTGCGTGTGCACATTGTGCGCGATTTTCATTTCTAACCCGTTTCTTTGGTAGGCGGAAGCGTTTTGGTATCCAGATCCGATGCTCAGGCCTAGATTTTTTCCAAGGGGGATGATTCCTCCGCCCGTCGCACTTCCGAGAGGATTATTTCGACCACCTCCGTACATGGTCAGACCCTATCTGCACACTCTACATCCGGGCTTTAGACCGCGAACACCGGTCCGACCGTTTCGACCTGCGCGGCCACAAACACCCACGACAACTACCACCACCACAACAGCGCCATCTGAAAATCAGACGACTGTCAGTACGGCTACCTCGTCTAGTGTTGTAATTGAGGAATGTGAGCCTGAACCAGAAGCTGACAATTCGGTTTCTACAGAACCCTAAATGTATTGTAATATTATTTTGGACTTTAAATATACAATTTTTTTCCTGTACCTTGTTTGGCAAGTCTCTTTCAGAAACCTATATGTTCTAGAAGTCTCTTTCCGACTGTAAAACATAAAATCATGTTTTTTCCTGTTGCCGTTCCCGTGAGAATTTCGGAAAGTGTTTTACTACATCAGAAACCAATTTTTGTATGTAAAGCTCTCGTTCATTATTATTACGCCGTATATTTATAAAGCCGTCCAAATCGAACATTGCTGTACAATGGATGTAAGATTGGAACGAGGCTTTCTTTGTCATAATCCTACTTTCCTCGTTCTATTTTTCCATAATTATTTGGAATGAATATTGGGAGATTTATTCAAATTATGGATTGATTTAAAATAGATTTTGCAGTTAGTAAAATTACATGAAATTGTTGAATTGTAACGTATAACGTTTGCATCATAAATAAAGCCAGACGATATATTACTTGCATTCGAGAGTATTTATTGATTTAAAGGTATAATTCAAGTAACGTATCGATTTTGATGGAATATTCAATTTTTGCACTTTACTTGAGCAGAGCTTTCTTGTCATGAATCTGCCCAAATTTTAGGTTTTCGGTTTACCAACACCACATATTTATGATGATTTAACGTTCTGGGACCACTTGTTTGGAATGCAGCTTGTGATGTGATGGTAAAAATGAAAGCAAACGATAGAATGCTGGACGAGGTAGAGAAAAACAACAACTTAGTTAAAAGTCATGTGTATTTTCCAGGTCTAGAGCAAATAAAACAAAATAAAATTTCTTATGCTAAAACTGTTTTTCTTTTAAATACAAAACACAAAATTACATTTATCCTACAGTTTTATAATTAACTAGGTACAATTATTTCCATACAGGTATCCATAAAATACTGTTTACACACACAGTGTTGCATCAATCTGTGTTAAGGAAGGAATAAACATTTTCAATTTACGACGATAGGCAGGATCGTCAGCAACAGGATTGTGCTCCAAATACACAGTCTTTAAGCTTTTATTCTCCTTCAGAGCTTCAACGTACTTCCAATCTGCAATTCGATTATCGTTAAGCTAAAAAAAGGACCCATAAATAACCATTAACAGTATTACAAAGAAAATTACCCAAAACTCGGTTAGTTCTGTCAGATGGCTAACGTTGCCGATTACTGAAATTTTATTCTGGGCAAGGTCTAGCGTCTCAAGCGCCGTGTTTTGCTCCAGGTTTTCGATTTCCGTTATATTATTCTCGGACAAATATATCTCGTCCAGCTGCGGCAACGCTTCCAAATTCTCAATTTTGGTTATGCGATTCGACTGCAGGCTGAGAGATGTTAAGTTCGGGAGGGAATCCAAATTCGCTATTTTCGATAATTTATTTTTCCCCATGTATAGATATTTCAAATTTGATAGTCCGCCTAGATTTTCGATATCCTATAGATACAGAGTGTTACACGGGCCCTTTTATTGTAATACAGAGTGTCCTGTTTAACATTTATTTTATTATTGGTATATCGCGCCATTGACCAAATAAAAGGGAACTTTTCGAAAAAAGTCAGTTAGGGGGTTTTAGGTAAGCCCTTGGGCCTCCACGCCACCCTTATCCTCCGCGTGCAAAAGTCACTCAATTTTAATAAATCAATTTTGAATTGCAACTTGCATTATTCGTATACCGCGCCATTGACCAAATAAAAGGAAATTTTTCGAACTGTAGGGCACTTTTCGAAAAACGACAGTTAGGGGGTTTTAGGTAGGCCCTTGGGCCTCCACGGTGTCCTTATCCTCCGCGTGAAAAACTCACTCAATTTTAATAAATCAATTTTGAATTGCAACTTGCATTACTCGTATACCGCGCCATTGACCAAATAAAAAGGAATTTTTCAAACTGTAGGGCACTTTTCGAAAAACGACAGGTGGGAGGTATTAGGTAGGCCCTTGGGCCTCCAGGGCGCCCTTATCCTCCGCGTGCAAAACTAACTCAATTTTAATAAATCAATTTTGAATTGCAAGTTGCATTATTCATATACCGCGCCACTGACCAAATAAAAGGGGATTTTTCGAACTGTGGGGCACTTTTCGAAAAACGACAATTAGGGGATTTTAAGTAAGCCCTTGGGCCTCCACGGTGCCCTTATCCTCCGCGTGCAAAATTCACTCAATTTTAATAAATAAATTTTGAATTGCAACTTGCATTATTCATATACCGCGCCATTGATCAAATAAAAGGGAACTTTTCGAACTGTGGGGCACTTTTCGAAAAAAGTCAGTTAGGGGGTTTTAGGTAAGCCCTTGGGCCTCCACGCCACCCTTCTCCTCCGCGTGCAAAAGTCACTCAATTTTAATAAATCAATTTTAAATTGCAACTTGCATTACTCGTATACCGCGCCATTGACCAAATAAAAAGGAATTTTTCGAACTGTAGGGCACTTTTCGAAAAACGACAGGTGGGAGGTATTAGGTAAGCCCTTGGGCCTCCAGGGCGCCCTTATCCTCCGCGTGCAAAACTAACTCAATTTTAATAAATCAATTTTGAATTGCAAGTTGCATTATTCATATACCGCGCCATTGACCAAATAAAAGGGAATTTTTCGAACTGTGGGGCACTTTTCGAAAAACGACATTTAGGGGATTTTAAGTAAGCCCTTGGGCCTCCACGGTGCCCTTATCCTCCACGTGCAAAACTCACTCACTCACACACTTGCGCAATTTGTTAACTTCAGGGACGAATTTGTAGAGGTTTAGGGCTCTTTTTCAAAAAGGGGATGAAAATTGGTTCCGGTACCATCACTTTCGAAGGTCATACATTTAAAAAAAAACCGAATGAAACTTCAGCCCGGTCCTAGTTATTTTTTGTTTCCCCATTTAGGGGGAACTATCCAAAAAGCGAATTTCCTTAAAAAAAAAGGGAATGTAACTTCTGGCTGGTTTCCAATTTTGGTAATTTTTAATACAGTTAATTTTTCAACATATGCTTTCACGGACACCCTGTATACCCAATTTAAACTACCACATAGAAATCTGATACAGATCACATTTCTTACCACTATTGCCCATCAGTACCTTTATTTTATTATCGCCAAGTTCCAGCAGCGTTAAACTCTTCAAATGACTTATATTTTCAATTTTTACAATTTTGTTAGACGATAAGAACAGCTTCTGTAAGTTGACCAAGTTCTCCAACCCTTCGATCACCTTAATTTTATTGAAGGACAAATCTAAAATCCTAAAGATTACATAGTCGACATGGGTCAAAATCATGCCTGTACTTACTTACTGCAAATTGACCAGAGCGTCGAGATTTTCAATTTTTCTAATTTGATTATCGTAAAGCTCGAGTTCCTGTAGTGTAACCAGCATGCTTAGGTTCTCGATTTTTTTTATGAAGTTCCACCGTAAATACAATCGTTCTATACGCGTAAGCGGCTCAAAGTTCTGCAATTTGAGTATACGACCATGTGTTAGATCGAGCTCGTAGGTATCTGGATCAATTATGACTACATCGTTCACTGGAGCCTCTTCATTTGGTTGTTGTTGAGGGGAGGTGTCCTCTTCCATTCCGGTATCCTCTAAAAATATAACATACTTATGAGTAAGTCGAGATGCTGGTATTATTGTAACCGTTGTGCTCATCTGAAGATTCACTACCTTCTTTCGACATGTTCGGGTTCTAATATTTCTTAATAATTTTCAAGAAATCAATTTAAAATAACCTTCTTTGAGGTTAACGGCCGCCCAAAACATTAACCCGAGACAACAACCACTCGCTGGAATATTGCATTGATTTGTTATACGGGGTGTATCCAAAATTGTGGTATTTTTTCCTTAATTATAGAAACTTGAATATTTCATTAAATACTTACACATAAGCACGATACCTAGCCTAGGCAAAAATATAACAGTATTCTCCATCACTTTTAATTGGTCACAGATAAAATAATCCCTGATGGTCTTCTAAATAACCTGATTTACTACGTAATAATTCATTAGAATGCGCATGAGGCTTGCCAGACGTCCCGATTTAACAGCGACAATCTCGGTTTTGGGATCAAGCCGAAGCCCCTGCGCCCCGGGCTTTTAATAGAACGAATATCGTATAGAATGTGGTCAAACTTTTTGTCCAAACGAAATATAATTATGACTTCTTGTATGTCTTTGGTCATAAATGATTTGGCGTTTTGTTTATTTGGATTTTGATCCATTGTGCAGCAACCGATCGATGAAATGTGTCAGTTCTTAAAGACTAAACCACAACTTCTGAAGGAAATTCATGGTTTCAAAAAGTACGACTGGTACCAAAATGATGATCAAAATGTTCAGGCAGGAACGTCGCAGGAAAATTAACTTTTAAAATTTATATATACATAATACAGACATACTATTTGATTAAAGATTCGTAAAATTGTGACCAGAAAAATTTCCCTGAGTATTAGCAATGTATTCCCTTAAAAATTATAAATACACTTTTTTTGTTGAAAAATTATGGTCACCCTACTAAGTATAACGGAATAAAATCTTCCTCACTTTTTCATGCACATGTTGCATCCTCATTGGCTATTGATTTTAACCGACGATATGAAGGCGTTCCCAATTGGTTTGAGATTCATAGTTCATGAATGTATTGGGACCTTCGACGGTAATCCACTGAGAAGACACAGCTTCGTACTTTGTCACTTTACCAATACAATCCCGATATACATAATGTGTGGAATGAAAAATACGTTTTGATTTATGGTTATTTTATTACATTTCCAAAGTACCTATTCTCTTCAACAAAGTATTGGCGAATAACTTCAGATTGTATATGTATAATTGTATTTTGTCATTCTGTAATTCATTGTAATTCCGCGTCTTTGAAGCAGTTATACATTTGCTGTCTCAAGGGTAAGTCCCGTATTATAGGTTATAGATTATGCCGCGATGATCTTAGGGGGTTCCAACCCGGCACTGCAATTTTGACTTACCCTATACTTACCATTGAAAACAAAAACATCCTACAGACCCTACGATTTGTCGTAAGACTTACAAATAAATTTGCAAAAATGACTAATATGGCACTATGAATGTTGAATCGGTTAAGCTCAACTTTTGCCCTTGCGTATTATATCGCTAAAATTTGCCCAGTTTGAATTTCTTGTAATTCGGTTCATAACTAACGGAGATGTCAAAAGGGCCATGATTATTTTTTGTCTACATTGCCATTTTATTGTAATGGGTCCATTTGTTCTCTTCTCGTCTTGCAACACGTAGGTAGTGTTTATACTACGGCGGTTCTTTTGTCTGTTGGGACGTGAGACACAATCGGAAGAGATTTGTGCGTCCGAAAAGAATCAGTTCGCTGTGTTGATTTTAATTTTGCGCAATTTGTGCACTAGATTTTGTTGCGGGTAAATGCACCGATTAATTGTCTTTCAATTTTCTTACCGTACGCCGTTGTATACAAAATTTTATGTATCGCACAATCCCACAAGGCATTGTCCAATGAAATGACTCAAATTTGAGGAACTGGGCTTTTTAACTAGCCGTTACTGTTAGCAATTGGAAAAAACTTATCACGAAAAGCTTCAAGCTCGGTTTATTTAAGTCTGTTTTGTATTTTAAAAGCGGTTCTCCGACTCGAAAATGTTCCTTCGTGTATATTTTACCAATCGTAAATAAAAAGCCTTGCTGCTACTAATCGCAGGTTGCTAAAAAGTTTTTCTTCGTTTATTCGCACACATAAAATTGCAGGTAACCAAATTCCGCGATATGGTTCTTAAAATCGAACCACGATTTTTCACAGATACGGGATTCTTGCAACTCGGCTAAAAATGCCGACTACCGCCAAACAATTTCTTCATATACCGATATTTAGACCGCTAATTGAAAATATTATCATTGACATCGGCTCGGTATGAGAGTTTCAGGGTCAAACAAATCTGTTCGAAGTTATCCGATGATAAGATTTGACAGAAATCAGTTAATCACACAGATATGCCGAAAAAACAAACCTACCTTCAGCCCTCGGCGTAGGTAAGGAACCACTTCCCAGCTCGATATGTAATCTACTATTATAAAGGTTTCTGTACAACTCAGTTACTATAGAATCTGCTCTATACTGCTACAAGTGGTGTTTACACAATTTTAGTTGACCCCGAGATTCACATACCCAGGACAACAGTGCCCCCTATATGTGACCACCCATTTTGTATTGAAAGCGTAGGGCTAATAGCAATGAGGTACTGTATGGTCTAAAGTGTGGTCTTTCCCAAATACATTTCTTGTTATCACCAGACATACTTTTGTTCACGTTCACTATGAAGCGGTAAATTTTCCTATGTTGAACAAAATACAAATTTTAAAATAACTTTTGAAATTCTAAATAGACCACCCACATTGGGTTCCCATTGTCTCAACAACACAAAATTTGAGTGCAGATGTATATATTTTAAATGCTTTTGCTTACAGGCTTCTTTGGCTGCACTTCGCATGGAGCTTTAGTAAGTGGGAGCTGCAGTGGACTATGAACTGAATAAACAAGAATAAAATTGGTAATGACAAACATAGGTAAAGCTGTGTTTCTTTAATAATTAAATAAATCTACAGTTCTTAACATTCCATATACCTACAAGTCAAATTACACACAATCAAACCATTGCCGACAGTTATCACAATAGTTGACATTTATGCACTAAAATTCGTAGATTGTAAAATTATTAAAATCGAGTACAAAAATGTTAGTACAAACGATGTAAATGCTTTTTTCCTTTTATAAATAAAACAGGTATCATCCGCGAAGAAATCCTCGCTATTATAGTACAGTAAGTCCAATATCAAAATATACCGCCAATATTATAATTTTTATCATTTCAAACACCCGGGTAAATGCAATTTGTAAAAGCCTAGAATCGAGTAACATTCCATATCTTCGTGTTGCAGTCTTGACCGACGGATACCAGCGTCTCGTTATCCAACCACGACAGTTGCGTTATTTGGTTTTGAGCGTGTGCATCTAGGTTGATGTAAGATTAGTATGCGACCGGTGGAGAAACTGACTTACTTTTAATTACTAGATGTTTTGATGGCTTTTCGATCGACCATACAATGATACTTGTATCTAAACTGCCACTTGCTACTAGTAACGAATCTGGCGACCATGCGACGCAGTTCACTTTGGCATTGTGATACGCCCACTGTTCAGGGCAGGGCTGAAACATTCAATGTGTATGCTTTTTTGGTATAAAATTAGAGAAATGAACGAACTGCTGCTTGAATTAGATCACGTAATACAAGAAGGAATTAAATTTTTACTTTTATCGCAAAAGCGCACTTTTGATGGAAAACGCATCAACGAAAAAAAATGGAACAGCAGTCAATGCACTTTTCTTGATTTTTATTACCTTATAATCCTCGACGGTGTATAATATCAGTTTTCGGTTAGCGTCGCACGCCACTAAGTATTTGTCATCCGGAGAATACGCGACGGCGGTAATCGCACCAGTATGGTTCAAATCGGTTTTCGCAGTTAAACTGGTACCGTTCAGTTCGAAAATGTGTACCTTATTGTCGGTACCGCCGCCGACTGCGACGTGACCATTCGAGCAAATGCCGACGGAAGACGGTTCGTAATTTACTTTCGTAACGTTAACCACGCGTCCGTTTTGTATAACGGAAATTTCGTTAACGCTACCGACTATTATTGTACTATTATCTTTGGTTATGTCCATTCCTCGTGGTTGTGAACCGAGATGCACGTCTTCCTTTGTATATGTATTACCTACAAATAAAAGTATGCATTACTTGTTACAGCGCAAACACTGTTTCTCTCTCAAAATATGTAGTGCAAAAGAATACCTAGATACATGATAGGCGTTTAACGTCTCCATGTGGTCATCCTAATTCCCCCTAACCTCCTTGTTTGTAACCAGACTGTAATTTGCACAAAAATGTAAGTCAATATTTTTTTAGACGGTCCCCGCTATAAATTTTATGAATTTTATTAAAGGCGAAAGAGGCAAATTACGCGCGTCACTGTATGTTTTGGCACGAATCTTAACAATTCAAATTACTCTAGGACGCAGGCTCTACGTAAATTTACCCTTTATTTTTTTTCTTTGCGATTGGTATAGCTAAAGGGTCTTGATTAATTGCTTTTGTTTATTTGCTGTCGATTTATTAGGCGTTTGAGATTATAAATTTTAATTGGTAGGACCTTTGTCTAAAATTACGCAATAATTATATTATAAGTCAGTTAGCAGTTAACCCACGGCTGTATTTAGAGGTATCTTTCTTAATTTGCTATGGATAGCGCATGTGATTACGTAGCAATTTAATTGATAATGTAGCTTCAATTACGTTTTAAAAGTTTCAAATTAAGTCACAGCCTTTTGATTTTTGGAGATTATGAAATTCACTTATGATTTTTATTATCAGCTTGTACGATAAGTCTTCGGATTTTGGAGGCGTAATATATTTGTTGAATTTGTTTTTGTATTGCTTAATTTTTCAATCTTACCAACCCTCCAATTAAAAACTATCAAATTAAAAAGTGAAAGGTAAAGGTAAAACCACGTAGTGTGTAATGTTTTTTTCTCTCTTGTTTTTGTATATTATTGGTAAAAACCTAATGAAATAAAAAGTATTATTATTAGTATTTCACCATTTCATGCAGAAACTAAATTCTGCATGGACCGATATTAAAATTATCCCAATTTTTGGGGACCACATGAAGGCATAGGTTTCATTCATAGAAAGTAAAATCGCCCCAACTGAATTCCTTGCCTCTTAAAGCTTACCTTCTATATCAATCTGTTTTAGTGAATCATCTATACCACATGTATAAAGCGTATTTCCAACAGCTTTCATTCCATTAATTTGATTACCATGCCCGGCGCCATTAACTCGTATATTCTCCCCGTCGTTGGCATTCCAGTTGGTAACAAAACCGTCATGCGACCCAGTAAAAATGTTGCTTCTATCTTCACTTAACGTTAAAACGGTGATTGGTTTATTGTGCCCCATCACAATCCTCAATGGTTTCGCGGGATTATTCACATCTAAATAGTTAATAAATCCGCTCAGTGAAACGGTGAGCAAATACTGATTTTGCCACAGACAAGAAACCTAAGCAATCGACTGTCAGTGAGGAACCAAAATGGGTAAATGGTTACCTGCTGGTCATCGACAGTAGAACCTAAGATAAACTCTGACACAACCTGGCGAGTTTCAATGTCCCACAACTTTGCGGTCTTATCACCACTGGCGGTCAACAACTGCTTACCATCGGGACTCCAACTGACAGCGTATACCCCTCCGCTGTGAGCAGGACTACCAACCTCACCTACCAGTTTGGACGATGTTCCGTCATACAAAAACACCTTCCCATCGAAACCGGCCGATGCGAACAAATTACCATTTGGTGAATAACGAACGGCTTGCACAAAACGCGAATGATCCTGCCATTAAAAAGAAGCCCGTACAAGTTACGCCAATTTATGTCCATTCGCTTAACTAACCTGTTTCGTCATCTTAAACTTAAAGGGCGGTCCTTCGAAAAAGGCGGCAGTGTTGTCCTCCGAGCCCGTCACTATACGGAACGGGCGCGTCGGACGAAAATCACAGGAATTAATTGGCTTAGATTGTCCGGAAATCTCGCCGACCGACGTACCGGTCTCGGACATGAAAACGTGCCCGAAACGCTCGCGACCCTCGCCCACGACCACCATACGTTGATTATCCGGCGACCAGGCGATGTCCTTAATCGGTCCACCGATCGGGTGGAACTCATTCTTCAAGATGTGCTCTTTATTAACGGTGTCCCAAATACGAATCTTTCCAGATTGATCTGCAAATTTGATTGCGTTATTTAATTTGATAAGACGTTTACATTGTATGAAATTTGCAGATGTTTTCTTTTGTTAAATTTTATTATTTTTTAAGATGTTTGTAGAAAGCCCGACGGGTGTGATAAAAGAAATGTGTTCGATAAGAGAACAACTAATTGCTTACGTTGATATGGGGGATAGTTTGCGAATATGCAGGTCTTACGAAATCTGGATGTGGATGGCGATAGCATGTTCATAAACGGTGGATTGAAGAAAGGAAGATATTCACGTCATTCAACACAATCAAGTTATTCAGTTCAAGAAGAGTCACGTTAGGTGGTTCACGATTTCACTCACGTTTGAAGTCAGTACATATTTGAAGTTAAGCTTGTGGTATCATCGGTTTTCATTTTACCGTCAACAAAGTTTGTCGTAATGAGCATTAAACTATAAAATTGTGTTTTAAAAAACAGGTAAACAGAGAGGTAAGAACAACAAAAACTTTTAAATTTTGTTAAAATAAAGAAAGTAAATTTCGTGTTAAAATCTAATTGTTTTTGCCTTTTGAGTGATGAATAATGTGGTGATAATTAGATATAGTAGTGGACCTGAAATTCTGCGTGACATTTAGATATGTTTGTTCTTTTGTGTGGGTCATATTGGACTTCCAGGTGAACTACACAGCAATACAAAAACAGTTACGTCGGTACTTACCACCCGATGCAATATAAAAGCCGCTTGGAGAGTATTTGGCAACATTGACAGGAAGGGAGTGTTCTGTGTAGATCTCGGCAATTGCTGGGTTCTGAAAAAAAAACAAGTGAATTTAAATGATAATGATAAAAAGAATGCAAGTTTTTATTTGGTGGAAGTGCAAGAAATATTACGTTTGAATATTTAAATAAGTTTTTACCTTTGAACAAAAAAGTGCGTAATGCAGTTTGCGTGTCGAATCTCACCTATATTTTGGATTTTCATTAGATATTTGAATAGGAATTTTGGATTGTCGATTGTCTAACATTGCAAAAATATTATATGAAAGCTATCAATTTTTTATGCGTATGTATAAAAATCAGTTTTTCAAAATTTACAAGTGTCAACTTGGGATTATTTTGGTGCAGTTAGTACATACAGGGCACTTGTGCCACACAGTCACATGACGCACCAGACAGTGAAATTCTAGCGCACGTGTTCGAGCCGCACTTTTGGCGTCTGCGACGTCTTGAGATCTGCGCATGCGCCAAATTCAAAGATCATTCGATTCGGTTCTGTTTGTCGACGGAAACATGTCTGTTTATTAGAAACAGGGGATTAACAGACCTATTTTCGTTGACAAACAGAACCGAATCAAATGATCTTTGAACTTGGCACATGCGTAGATTTCTAGACATCGCAGACGCCAAAAGCGCGTTTCGAACACGTGCGCTAGAACTTCACGATCTGGCACAAGTGACCCTATATCTAGTGCAGTTGTATTTCTAGGTGGAAACAATAAAATTGCTTTAGTTCAGAAAAATATTTTTATTTTTTTAAAAAGTTTCGATTATTTTTACACATACCTATATACACTGTGTCCAAGATAAGGTTGTCTATCATGGAGATCTCCGAAACCATAGAAGATACGATAGTCAGAATAAATGTGCAATTTAATGAGTTATACTTTAAAAAAACATAACATTCCGATTACTTCAGAAGATATTCCAGAAAAACCGAAATTTGCCGATTTCGTATTGTTTTTTAACAGATACAAAACAGATAAAAACACTTTCTCACTGACACTAATTGAGCTCTACAAGACAGCGTTGAGAGACTCGCAATACAACGTTTCGTTTCGGAGAAATCGTCAACTTTGTTTTTTTATATGACCCATAAGAAAAGTACACACTGTATTAAGTAGCATTTTTTATTACACATATAACGATATAAGACACTATATGATTCGTTGTTATTTAGACCAGAAAAAATTATTATTGATTATTATTATTATATATTAAAGACCACCTCCATTCATCGGTTCCATATCGTTATTCCCCGCCGTCGTTCGCTATTCCCACCTCCAAACACCAAACGCCAACCTTCGATATCTTGCATGTGGCGTTAGTAAACAAGGCCAATTAATTTGTCTAATACCTTTTTGGAAAACATCTGACCAGATAAAACATTTACCTTACATCAAGATTACGATTAGGTGAATGTTCCCTTACTTATGCCTTCCAAAATGTATGACTTAAAACAATTTCTAAATTTACACTTAAAAAACATTGACAAAAAATTTTCCAATTCTGTGCCTATTTGAAGGAAATTCCCCCAGGTCCATTTAACAAACAGGATTCCATTTCCAAAGCTTAAAGCGAAATTACGTTAACAACACGTAAATTGTTTACTACAGGATGTTAGACAGGATGGCTCACTCTCATCTTCGGTATTGTTTCAACCTAGAAAAACGGCACCACCCTCTGCGGTTTACACAATATCTTTCCCGTTGTGTCCGTCCGTCTGGTCGGATCCACTTCTGTGATTTCCAATCACTTTTAGGGGAATTGTCATGGAATCCTCTAATTTTTGCAATAGGTAGCCTGCATATTGACGGTTGTTAGACGGCCTTTAAAATTGTTTTGTCTTAAGAGAGGGGGGGGGGCATGAATTATTTCTAATCCTATAAATCGAAGGGAATTGTTGGTTTCTGCCAACTATAACATCCACGACTCCTTATCAAGTGTTGAAAGAGTGGGTGGCTGGGGATGGGGAGGGGGTTAAATTGGTTTTATCTTTCATGGTATTCTAACTAAAAGTCCCAATGACGGAAACTGTTTTCTGCCATACAGCTCTGATGTCTTTAAGGATGGTTGAGCAGGTCATGAAAGGAAAAATATTTATGTAGTTAAAAGTGTGTCCTGAGTATTACTCCGATCGAACCAAACGCGCACGGAAGAGCAGAATAAACGGTCCGCACAAATTGCCACTGAGTTTGAAGTATTTGATGTGTTCACCATGTTCCCAGTCACTTTCAACTGTATTAATTTATAGTATCCTCTCAAACGATTGCCTCCGATTGCGTCTCCCGTACTATATTAATTAATAAATTAGAATTTTGACGTCGACAGCAGATTTAGTTAAATTTTATCTATCTGACTCCTGCATGTAATCATTAATAACAATTACATGGGGTGCCTCAAGGTCCGATTCTAGGTCCCGTCCTCTTTTTGATTTAAGTATATTAATGAGTTCGCTTGTTTCATTATCTCATTCTCTGTCAGCTAGCCATAGATTTTTCAAGAGCAACATCTTTTCGTAGGGAGGTGCAAGCGAAAGCAACCGCATGGTTCAATGCAAATAAATTTTGAGGTACACTACCTCGCCTGTGTTTATATGAACTTTTAATCATAAAATAAGGCAAAGAACTAGCCCCTCTTGCATTTACATACATCATATTTGAGAACATCCTGTATATTTTTTGCTCTTTCTTTTTTCAGTTGACCAGTATTGAAAACTTTGAATGTTTATTTACACAATAAATAACATCATTATTATTATCGGTGATGCTATAGTGGCAGATGGTGCCTTTTTACTGATTCATTATGTTGGAATCATAAAGAATTGCTGGTACAACACATTTTTATTTCTAATTAATGCAGATGGAAAAACGTAGTGAAGTAAACAGAATGGGTTTCACGGAGCGTATTCGGTTACATTCATTTAACTGCGCCCCCAACAGGCTATAGTAGTTCATATATATAATGAGTCAAAACACATTCACTAACAAGAAAGATGAAGAAGAAAACGAACAAAATATGGCTGAAGTGTGAAAAGGGCGAGAGACTGAGAGACACTGGCAGTGGCCATAGTTCCATAATATTGCTATAGTACCAGTTACTTTACTGTTATGTTTTACAATGCTAGCGGCACATAAATTGTGTAAAAAAATTTGCTGTGCCTAGCACAGATACCACCCACACCCTGCGCATACACGATTCTGGGTTTTTATGTGTACCACATTAATTGATCTGAATCGATGCAGCCGTTTAGCTAGAAATGAGAGTACAGACTGATTTTATTTGATTCGGATTCCTGGTGCATCAAAACATGTGTTTCCGTCAAAAAAATGGGAGGCCATTTTTACCCCAAGGTAAATAGAAACCTAAACGTTCATGGAGCACACCCTGGATATCCAGAGTACAGAACAACGGTTATAATGCATTATTCAAGGTTAAAAATACACAATCAGCTGTTCCTGATCTTATGCAACAGTACTACCAACTGGTATGTTTGCAGTGCGTGATACAGGGTGCCACATACAATTTCTACCAATCACGTGCCGAATGCCCACTTAATAGTGTCATACAGGTTACAAACGTGCATGCAAGAAACGTTACAAGAAAATAAAAGTCATTTTCTATATCAGAAATAATCTCGGAAATAATATTAGACATGATGTCAGGAAATGCATAGTGTCATACAGCCTTGTATCTTTGCTGTTACTCATTTTTCTCGATGGTAGAGACCTCTGTTGGCAAACTGCTGAAAACCATCACAATTCTTGCCATAACACCCACATTTCCGAGTTAAATTGAATATGAATATCATCCAAATACAGTACTCTTTGATGATACTAATCAACTGATACAGTACTCTACTAAGTATAATCTGTCTAAAATGAGTAGACACCTGGGTTTATCCACAAAGGTAACTTGACCTAGGTCAATCAAGTAACAGCCTACTGCCTATGCAGTGAAAGAGTAAACTTTAATGTGAATACATTTCAATCTAGCTCTTCCAGTAGCTTTACTTGCACCCGATTTCATAAAACTACATTCCAAGAATATATTCATATGATAGGAGCGAAATTATACTAACCTCTATATTTCTAATTATAACCGAGTTACCATTTGTGTATAAAAAATTCTTCCCTTTTGGATCGCCACCCAAAACTAGCGGCTGACCTCTCTGCGTTCGTGGTAAAGTCGCGAAGGTGTTTTCTAAAAATAAAATACCGATCATGTATCGAATTTATTGAAAGTTTCGGCATGGAACACCTGTTATCACATGTCTCAAAAATACACTGTGTTAAACAAAGTTCCATTGATTAAATTCGGATTTTTTACTTACTAATACTGTAAGACATTGTCGGCGAATACTGTTAACCTATTAATCCAATCAACTTTTAGAGCTTCTTCGCCAAAATGAATGGAATATGAGATGTACGGCTAAAAGATAACACCGGCAATTAGTTTTGTCAACGCCTTGTTTGGATAGATTCAAACTGATATCAATTACCTTATTTGGTAAACGTAATTCCGGATTCATTCGATTACGGTTACTATCGTTGCTGCAATCGTGAAATTTGCGATGGAAATGGGAAATTTTTTGGTTTTGTTAAGTTTTGAGTGTAGGCCATCCTGATTTTAGACGATTGGTAGCCATGCAGTTTAACCTTAAAATTTGTGCAGAAACTTCAAACCTCGAAATGTTGATAAATAATGGCAGATTCATCTCAGCCACATTTCAAGAAAAGATCGTATAAACGCCACGATTCGAGACAGCATAATTTACAAAAGCGACCGCCACAAAAACTCGATCGCCGAGATTCAGTCATTTACGTTAGCTCAAAATCGAACATTAAAGTACTGGGTAAGTACAAGAGTTGCACATTTAATAGCCAACCGTTTTGCAGGCCTTACTAGACAAGTGCGATAAGTTGATAAAAAAGGATGAGAAAGAAATCGTCATCTACTGCATGGGAGCTGCGATTCAACGCGGCATATTGTTAGCCTTACAAGTTTGCGAGCAAAACGTCGCCTTTAAAATAGCCACAAATACGTCAACTGTGGAGTTAGTAGACGACCTGGAGCCGACCGTCGACGAGGCCGATTACGAAATTTTAAAACGCAGCAACTCCGCCTTGCAAATAAAATTGTGTCGCGAGGGCGTCACGGTGTAATGTTTACCATTCAAGAGATAGTGCGGTGGTTGGGACTCACCGTGTTCGAAATATGGATTAATTTGAACGCTCTTGTGGTTTTTACCGTATTGCTGGCGCTGAAATTCGATCACCACTCCGAAGTGCATTATTTCACTTGGTGGGCGATTTTCTTCCCACTGTTCGCCGCGGACGCCCTAAACGCGTACTTTTGCGTAATTGTGTTCATACGTATGCAACTGGAGAGCTCGTTGAAGGCGTCCCTGCAACGACTGGCGTGGTCGGCTAATTTTATATTTATGATGTTTATTTTTAAGTTCCTCTTATGTAAAAAGCTAACGGGACAGCTCAGCTTAGATTATTCGGAAATATTTGCGCCTGTCTATATACTGTTACAGCTGGTTGCTGTTCGCGCATGTCAACAGACTTGAATTTTCCGATTCTTATATGTAAAATAATATACTTTTGTACTTATTACATTGTTTAATACAAGATCGTAATCATTTTGGAATTTTGTTGTGTTTTTATGTAAAATTTACAATTCTAAATTCTTGCTGGTAATATCTTGGGTAGGTCAAATTACGGGACGAAGGATCAGGAGGGAGAGGGATTATAACCTTATAATTTTTAACAAATGTTGATATACAGGGATTTTCTATGTCTACTTTTAAATGATATAAAGTCTTCTAAAGGACGCCTAACTTTATGCAACCAAAATAACTACCTACAACAAATGAAGATCTGCCTGTCATATTAATTAATTTGAATATTATCGCTTTGACTTCCGTATTCTAAAAAAGTTGATATTTCCAATTGGTATAGTAGTGCCGATTACTGTTAAAGAAGCTTAAGTGTGGTGTCACACTATGCGTTTTTACCGCTCCCGCTAAAACGGATGCGGTTTGACAGGATGAGATCTACTTGTCACACTATTCCGGTCTAACGGGATGCGTTTTCGCTAAATTTCGGCAGTCTAAGTAGTGTCATGTCTCAATTATTGTTAAAGGTTTGTGCGTTTGAGGCGGAGGGGTTATTGCGATTTGCGGAAGCAGATATATCGTCAATATTGGATTGATCCTTTTAATTCAGGGCGAGAATCTAATAATAGGTTTGTGAAGTTTTATGAAAAAAATCGAATGAACAAGAAAAATTTTTTTGTAGATTATCGAATGTCCAAAAATTCAATTTCTGCCCATGATTTCTCCCTACAGTTTCTATCTACATACTCTTTAGATTGTTTTTCCCACAGTGCAGTTTTTGCATGCACGCACTCGATGAATAAACCGACATCAAACATTGTAAACCTGACAAAACACCCGGTTGCAACGCTCAGTGTGACAACTGATGACAACCAACGTGCAACAACACGTGGTTTCATATCATTGTGGTTGTCATGTCATCCTGCGCAGCGGCAGCAGGATGCGGTTGCATCCGGTTGGTGCGGCGAAAACGCATATATGTGACTGGTACCATTTAATAACGTGTGATATTATCATCCCGTCAAACAGGAGCGTTTTAGCGGGAGCGGTAAAAACGCATAGTGTGACACCACACTAAGAGATTTATTTTCTGTGAAACTAAAGCAACAATATTCAAATTAATATGACAGCCAGATCTTTATTTGTTTCAAGAAGATATTTTGGTTGCATAAAATTAGGAGTCTTTTAGAAGACTTTACATTTGAAAGTAGGCATAAGAAATCCCTATGTCTACTTCTACATGCGAATATCACTGTAGAATGTAGACTGCTTACAGAAAGCAGCCCCTTCAGTACCTTCAGTTCGTGTATCTTCTTTATGAGGAGCTTAGGCAGTGGCAACATCGCTACTGACACCGGTCACCCATGCTGGAAATTGTCAAGTGCTGAGGGACCAAAAGAGGTACAACCCACCTACATTGTATAAGATTCCATGCTCCTATCCACAGTGTCGCACTGCCCATCCCTTCAATGCACCAGAAGGTGTAGCACATAGGTTAATAATAGTGTGCTAGGTCTCTGTAGTCTGGACAACAAACAACCGGCCAGACTATAATGACTACTTTTTATTGAATCCGGTTGTACATGAAATCCATATCATCGGGATGATTCTTCTACCCGCCTAGGCCATATTCTGAGACATCGTAACTCGAGATAAGCTCATCATTGGGATAGCCGGCAGTCAAGATATTAAGTCATAGATGATTGCAGCCTCTGTAGAGAAAAGGGCCTTAAGTAGTACAACCCGAGTTTCAAGCGCAATTCGCAAACCGAAATGGGAAGCAAAGAGGCCAAAATTGACTGGCTAGGAGATATCCAAGGTCGTCTCAGAACAAAAGCTGCGCTGAGATGCAGACACTCCACCCTCTGTCGTCAAAGAGGGAAGGTCTAAACTTCAAGAAAACCAAGCAATTCCATGGAAGGTACTTTCGCGGAAACTGCGGCAACGGTGAAAATGGCCATCTACCACCCAAAGATCTTACCCCAAACTTTTGTTTTTAAAATCTCTTCTAAATAATAATAAGCCTAGTTTTCATAGACGCAATTATTGCAATTTTTACCTATCATAACTCGCTCGCTCCTGATGGTGAGCATAATATAATTAATGACCGCTGTACCTACTTTCACCTGCAACCTTTAATCGCCACTCTAGGTAGTCGAAATATTCATCCCCTAGATACAAAGGAGATGGTGGGGTTAAACTGAAGTGATAACAATTTTTTTATTTGCGATGTTATCAAGATACGCAGAATCGCATACGATTTTCAGTAGGGGAATTTTATGCCACTCAGCTCATATTCGGAAACCAGGCTTTTGATCCGCCTCATATTCAATAGTAGGTACCTGCTGATCCTTGAACTCGTAGAAATCGATTGACGAAGGTTTGACATCGCTCTCCTGTCCCTTCGTTCTCGAGTTAAACGAGGTACAGACGGACAGATAGACGGACAAAACCATCACATAAGAAAAATTCCCCTAAAAAGCGCTACAATATCTGCATAGTTTGTGACTAGTGATGTACGCAAGTTGAAAGCCCTCGCAGTAACAAAAAGCAGGCAAAAACACTATAACATAGATCTCCTAAACATCAAATGAAAATTAACATATGACCAAATCGTAATACAAACCAAATGGGTACAAGATTTAATGTAAAACGATCAAATTCAAGGTTAACCACCCGCTTAATTACACGCACCTGCAGGCAACATAATTTACAGTAAAGCGATTAATTACAATTAAAACTAGGTAAATTACCTTTCGTGATAACACGAAACATAGTCCAAACTTGAATTTAAACATTAACGCAAAATTTGATTAAGGCAGATAGCAATGCAAAATTATAAACGATCTCTAGGATCGTTAATAAACGGCAAAAGTGTAAAATTATGGAACATGTAAAAACGGTTTTTTGTTTTTTTTACCATCACTTTTTTTGTAAGCGGTACAGAAAAAATTCCTTCCTCGACTCGACACCTCGACACCATAACGAACCAAATAGCGAAAAAAGTAGAACGATAGCTCTTAAGATAAAGAACTAGTAGCGTCGCAAAACGAGCGGACGGACAGTGGCCACAATAGCGCATTTTTTTTTATTTTTGTGGAAATGCGCTAAAAAGGGCTGCACACTGATGTGTGGGGCGTTTCGGGTCAGTTGACTTATTAGCGCACGTAATAGTCCGTTGCGTGTAAATTTCAAATACGCAATTTTCTGGCAATCAGTCGGTGTTACGAAGTTTTGTTTTATCAGTAAAATTAAGAAGAAGTGATACAGGATTAGTTTTCCGATTGCTGCCCAAAGTTAGTGTTCACGCATTAAAAGTTATAGAAAAGGAGGTCTTTCGTCAATTTTAAAGTTTGTATCCGAGCTGCCATTTCAACAATGTCAATCGTCATAGAACAAATGATAATGAGGATTTATTTTGTTTGTGATTTCAGAAAATTACGTGTCGATTTGAGTTCCAGTAAAAGTAAAGAAAATCGATCCTGATACTTATAGTTCGTTTTTGCTAATAAATCAAAATTTCTTGTTTCGAGTTAGCCGATGGTCGTTTCCTGTATAATCAATAGTGTTGTTTCATTTGAATTACGAGTTTCCGGAACTTCAAGATTTTGATAAGTAATCAGTGATAAGATTTTTCAGCGTTTCGGAACCCAGCTTGATCCTGAGTGGCAAATGTAAACAACTGAAACCTTATAAGAACAGAAAAATTTTATGTGTTCCCACTGGGATGGGGTGAGGGGGGCTAAACCATTGTATACAAAGGTTTAACTATTGTGGCCATGACAAAGATATAGGTAAACGTCATTTCTAGCTGTGCCTTTAGAACCAGAACATGAAGAGGTCTAAAGCGTTTGGCAGTGCCCACATTAATACTAATTGAATTGTAATAATTTTTACTACTTACGTATTTTGTTTTAAAACGATCTCGAGATCATAATTATACAGTAAAGTTCCATGAAGTTGATCTTCTATCTTGTGTATAATCATATTAAATTAAATATCTCCTTAATTGGATTAATTGGAGTTGTTACTTATGAAACAAGTGCTCTGCACCCTTTGAATTTGTAGCTAAGTTTATCTGTGGAATACGAATAATAATCCAAGCACATGACTGTTGAGGTGTAACCGAATTTATCTGAACCCCTACAAACAAACATCGATTTCACTGACTGGCTTCATTTACGTTTTCGGTTTCAACTGGTTAGATCCAATGGCATCCGGCGAAATTCAGTAGGTATAATGGGGACGTAGTGTTACATAAATTATTAATTGTAATATTTAAATTTGGCGCCACCCACGCAAAAACTGCTGAGAACTGTAATGTTCCTAGGGGGATCTATCAAGCCGACACGGAAAACGTTGACTTACCCTATACTTACGGTTGGCAACTCTGGCAAAAACTACAAGCAGAGCCACCTACCTTTCAAGTCGAAACGATGGTAGTCTCGCGGCACTTTTGAATTTGGATGACAGTCGGCTCGATATGGGATGGCACGAATGGACTCCTACGTTGTGTAATCGGTTCTTTTATGTGTTGGGACGTGAGACATAATCGGGAAGGGAGTTAAATAAAAGACAGAACTTTTGTGCGTAAGAAATGACAAGATCAAATAAATATATTAACGCACACACAAGACCATGCCAGGGAAACCTTCTACGGGACTAAAACCCTGGCATAGGCCATACAAATACATAAAATAAATCACCTACAGCAATAAAATGCAAGAGAAAATACACATAAATAAGACATCTCAAATGGTATGATAAAAATCAGATAATCAAATCAAATGCAATTAAACAAGTTCATAAAAACAAAATACACAAGACATCATAAATGCAGTGGAAAACATGATAAATCAATTCAGTGCAAAAAACATCAAAATACCTGTACGATCAATAGAGATAACACAACTCGTCAAATAAACAATTGCATGTACATAGGAAACATGTAAATGGTGTGGTTCTACTCCATCCTTCAGTTAACATAATTTAATTTAACACGAAAAGTACATGTGAGAATGCCATTGGTCACAAGTATTCATGTGAAAATCGATTATCGCTCAAGCAGAACATATTTTAAATAGAGGAAATGTAAATGAGAGGGCCCCCACTCGTATTGCTAAGATGTTAAGAACTACAATCCGCACGAGACGAGTAAACAGATACAGCGAAAAATCTAACTGCATTAGGTACCTACTCCACGGAGACAGAAATACCCACTCGCACACACAAACATCGAAACATCAAATCATTCGTATAGCGGTACACGAAACAAAGGCATGGAGTACGCCATGATTCAGATATCGTAGTTTATGCAAAATCAGCAAAATGTAAATATCACATTGTGGCAAGAAATTCAATGATTAAATATGTAGTACAAGAAAGAATAAAATGGTTACTACCTGTAAATACATCTTCAAAACACCACCACCAAAAATAATCAAGAATAAAAAAAAACCGGGAAAGCATGTGTCTTCCGTCGACCTCGTCGCCATCTTCTCCATTCTCCTAGCTTCGTTACGAAAATCCCCTAGTATTCGGCATCTGCGCAAAACGGTCGTTGGTTATATACAGAGCATATTATATTTTTGTTTCGGATGTAAATGTGTGTTGCCTAACCATCAGGGTGGGTTATCACAGAACATACGCGAGATGGCGGGCCATTTTTAATTGCAGCATAAAGTCACTGTAAATTACAGCTCCCTGTCTAAGTCCATATATTCTGTCCAATATTCTTTTCTTATACAGTGTTCTGTGCAGATGGTGACACAAAGATCATACTACATAGTGTAGTATCAAAGAGTACTTTACTCTTTGGTAGTATGATCAAAGAGGGTACTCTTTGGTATGATCTTTGTGGTGACAGCCAGTTGAGCCAGTACATGTTCCTAAATCTAAAACATTCTTCTTCTGAACTGGTATCACATCCATCTGTCGCTTGGAGCAATTTTATGTCTTTACCTAACCCCTCAATCCTTTGTAACCCTTGACTATTCCGCTGTATAAACCAGTTAGTTGATAAAAGAACGAGGAGAAAGACTCATTCTACATCTGGAACGAACACTTAAATAAAGAAAAATTAAATAAAATAATGACCAATAATAAATCACTCTATTAATAAAGTAATATTTTTAACAGTAGCGCCTACTGTTCCGCAAAAACATTCTTTGATCATGAATGTATGGGTCAATGGGTGGGTGAACAGATTATGAATCTCGACTATAATACTCACTACACGGTACAACACTTATCTGCAAAGAAATACTGACACAGATACTGTTACTGTTCAGAGTGTAAATACAAATAAATACAATAAATACAAATAAAAGATACACCTACTTATATAATTAGCAATTTGTGTGGCCGTTATGCTATGCTGCAATGCGATTGACTGGCTACGACACGAAGTAGGTCTAGGTAGGTATAGGAGGTAGGTATAGTGTTTACATAACTACTGATATACGGAATACAACAACAATTAAAATTTACTCAGAGCCTTATTTTTCGGTTGCCGTTGTCGCGACTGAGAGGGACAAGACAAACTTGATATTTTTATAATCAAAACGCGACTACTATCGAACGTCTTGGTATGTTGAGAGAGAGACGAATTCCATGCTATCCCCAACCAGTTCGAACGTAACACGCGTTCGTAGTAATCGTCGTGGGGTTATGTCGAGTTTAAATTAAGTAACAGCTGCGCGTTTAGTGTTATCTTTACGTGTTTCATGTTAATTTGAAAAAAAGTCGATCAGGCCACACGGTAAGTGTCCAGTTAAAAGATAGGAAATCAATTTGAGGTTATAACTTGAAACGATCCAAACAAAAGAATGATCCAAACACCAAACTGGATAGATAATTTCTGATTGGTTGTGGGCCTCCTTGAGAGGGGTTACTTAAACCCAACACGTGCTTTAACTCGTCGCGTACAACGCATTTTCCGTAATGACCGTAATTATAACATGACAGTGATGAAGGGTAGAAATACGCGACGAGGGGTTGGTGATTATCGGTAATTCACCACTTTTCTGCCAGAAGAGTAACGTTATTTAATAAATTAAATAATGCGTCGAATGAGCGATAAAGTCTCATGTTAACAAGTGGTTAATATCAACGCTATTATTAGAGTGTTATTAATTATAAATGAAGGTTACATTAACAATACAAACGATAAGTGATCCCGTCTCATACGTAAGACGATTGATTAGGTAGTCTTTGATTTCAATCTCAGTTTTAAAGTTATTTTTCCTAGTCCGCCTTTTTTCGATATAACGAATGTTACGTAGAGGACATTCCTTTAAAATTCAATTGACTGAGTTGAGCAAAGATCATTGGTTTGAGCATTGAAGTTATAAATTCAATGGTTTTGAGGTAGGGGAATGTTTCAGTCATTCAGTGTAGTGGGCGATTGGGCAAATCCCTATCTGCTTTGATGCTAAAGATTGCGATCACATAAACGTCGAATAAGGTCGAATGCTTGGTATTTCTAAATGCATATGGCTTTAGAAGAATATAAAAAAAATTACTCCCCCCATTTGTATCAAATAAAAGTGTATACTATTTCAACGTACGTGTTCACAAATTTTGTTTTAACTTTTTAGCCAATAACCATATATGTACAGGGTGGTTCAAATTCGCGTCTCATCATTGGGATATCCGTAACGGTGAATACTTTGAAATTAACTGAGATATCACCGAAAAACTGAAAATGTGAAATTTCGTTTTTGATTTTCCCTAGCTTAACTGGTCGGAAATCGACGATTCCTGTTAACACCTTCTATGGACATATTTTCAGAGAATCCGAATCTGTTATCAGAATTTCCATAACACGCTAGATGTAGATTGTAGACACTAGACACTACAGACTACTATTTCTTATGGACGCCATACCTATTGGTTTTTACGGAATTAATTATTAAGAATGTCTTGCCGTCATTTTGTGGGTGTTTTGATAGACTAACACCATGAGGGGGATTAAGAGGGAGAATGTATTCAGTATTGGGCCACCGGATAGTTAAGTACGCGGTCCAAGATAATAGTTTTTTTCTCGGTCACAAAATGTCAGGTATTCGGTTTTGGGCTGAGCTAACGATTTGTATCATATCAATAAAGAAATAGGGCGACAGTCACAGTTCAATGCCCGAAAAATCATGTCAGGCGCCTCAATTTCCAAGAGAATCCTGAAGGCGACGACGGTGTCATCCTTTAGATCCACGTTCCATTATCACTGATCAATTTAGAAAGTACCTCTACATGATAGGGCCGCACTAAGTTTGTATTATACGAAAATCATCGTTTCCAAATAATTCGTGAGGTAATGTACACATTTTCTTGATTTGTATAAAAAATGTAATGATTGGTGTAATAGTTGTATAACTAGTTTTGAAAGTGAGACTTTTTCATGAATTTGCATAGTGATCCTTAATAACCCATAATTGAATAATATCATTGACATTCGCGATTTACTGTCACTCAAATGTCCTCCCGTTTCTGTAAATTTATCACGCATAAACTTTTCAATTTGAGTTGGTAAATTTCAGTCTATGAGAATGTCCAAGTAAATGTGTTCAACTTTGTTAGCCATAAGGTGTATTTTGGTGTGAAAAAATGACGGTATATGTTTACTGTCGTTGATAATTATTTTTTATTATACCTGAATCACAATCTCCGTTTTAAACACTCAAATGCGTGCGAAAAAGGGCCTTTAAAACACACGTGCTTTAAAGTTGCTAAGTAACGATACTTCAAGTATGACTATTGAAACTGTCATCTGGATGAAATAAAAAATCCTCTTAGGTCGCTTTCTGTAAATGCAGAACATTTCTTTGGCTTTTGTACCTATCCTTTGGTTGAAGCTTTCACAAACGCGCGTAATTAGGGTATGCTTCCAAATCTGTTCCACTTTTTAATCGCAGCATTGCTTTAAAGTTTTGAATGAATGCACCAAAATATAGAAGATTTAAATACCTTTGACATTTCCTTCATATATTCCAGCATTATGGATGCATTTAAGACTTTATTCGTAAGTAACTTCCGAGTCCATCCATGGAAACAACTTTTCATATTCTTTATAATAGGCTTTACTGGATTTGGATTTTACACCTACCAACGTGTGTTTAGATTTTACAACAATCGATTTAATGGACGGTGTATTATATTTTTCAACGGAAATCGTTTAATTCACAAAGACGATGATTTTTATAAGCAAACGTCAAGTGACATTTCCATGGCAATCGTGAAATTACGAACACCCAGCCCACTTAATTAGACATGTATTCGAGTATAACGTCAATATGATTTCATTGTATTTCCTATTTTTAAATTATACTGCAGGTATAATAAAAAATACTATAAGATACACGTGTATAATTGGTCTTTAAAGCACTTGCAACGTTAAAGGCACTCCGCTTTGCGTCGTGCCCTTAAACTCGTTGCGCGTGCTTTAAAGACTTGATTATACACTTGTATCTTAATATACTATTATGTTTGGTCTTTATTTTTGTGGGTGGGGTTCAGTCACGGGCTGTTCTACCAAGCCAAAATTTTTGTAGGTTGTACATAGAAAAATAATGTCTTTTGAATAACTTAATAAAAACGTTGGGTTGCTATTTCAAAAAAAATTCGTTGCCGTATTGCAGCGCTCCAAAAATTTTTTTAAAATCCGGCCCGATGTTTTTCAATTCCGTATGCCTAAGAAACGTATCCAAAATTTGAACAAAATCCATCGAAAAATTGCCAACGTGGGGCCCGGTCGAAGGTATTTACCAGAGAATGTATCATAAAACGTTTATCGACTATCTCGAATTAGAATTATAGGGTAAATTCGTCTTTGTCGTAGTATAACAAGGATATGGAAGTCGGAACAGAACGATAATAAATAGCAAGTTATACATATATACTTAATGATACTTTTGAAGCAAGCATTTCATTTCAGGAGAGGACTTATTGGGGTTTAACCATGGGTTTAACTGCACCTGCATAAGCGGTCATTTCTTTTGCGGTTGCGGTAAACTTTGCGACTACTACTTTCATAATCTTATATTTGAATGTTACTTAATTTATATACAGGGTGTCCTGAGACAGTCGGTTTTTGCGGAAACTAGCGGTGATGCCAAAAAAATGATTTATATAAAATATTATTTATATGGAGGGGCCCATTTAATGATATTTGACAAATTATATAATTTATTATTATATAATAAGTTGCACCCGATAATTCTTATAAAGCGGCACATGTGTTAGTATAGTCTTTGGTGTTAAGTACAAAGGAATATATGCACAAAATTTTAGTTTTTATTGATTAGCTTATAGACATTCATTATCAATATCTTCTTCAAAATCTTCAGCGTCATCATCATTATCGCCATTCAGATTTATTACAAAAGGTTCTACGGCGACATGTATTAATTTCTTCTGTTCTTGATACATGTCGTCTACTTTCGCAAAAGTGTTGAAACTTTGACTATAAGCCTACAATGAAAAATGATTTTTAATATTTCAAATATCAAGGAAAACCTTCAACATTTTTTATACAAATACTGAGTTCTGTTGAGCGTTTCGTACATAGCTCCTTAATTCTTTAATACGGTTCTAAAGAATGTTTTAGGTTGAAAAAATACAATTCCATGACCTTCAACAATTAGAACTTCGATACCTACATAATATATATCACTATTTTAATGAGCGACGCTCGGACGGCACCAAGCGAACCTTGGTCCGTGCGTCGATTTCTCACTTCCCCATTAAACAATGTGGCGGTGATGTCAATGTTGATATTTGCATGTAATAAAGGTTAAATTTAACATTTTTGAGGATGTAAATTGGTGCATTGTTTAATTATTTGAATTGAATAGTGGACAGTAATTTTCGTTGTGGATTATGTATTACGCTACGTATCTATCGGCTAGTGGCAACCTTCGAATAACTATATCAGTTTTAAACGGTATGGTAATTTTGTAGTACTAAGTTATAGTCCTCAAATTTCATGCACCCAGGTACAAGGAAATTGCTTCAGGCGATGATGACACAAGTACGTGGGCGCTTGGCTCTGCAGCATAGGCGCCATCGGGGAACAAGAGCTCTTTTGGCAGCCTTAATTAATATTTCAAGAAATAAAATCGTTTAATTGTAACTTTATTCACAGTACCTACGCTGCAAATCAAAAGTTATTGTGTATTCTAAAATAAAAAATATATACAGTGTGTTCTATTTAATCAAAAGTTTGGGCTAAACCGGAGGTGGACAAAATTGTCATTATGGCTTTGTCAATGGACACTATTCTTTGATTTGCTCTAATTCTTAAAACATTGGTTCAAAGATAACCGAGAAATTCGAACGTTCCGGGACTTATGGTGCACTCTGTATATAAATGCATAACTTGACTTATTAAACCTGCGATTTACATATACGATATTGTATACTTCAGTACTTGAGTACTCTGTACCTATATGTACTCAGGAATGTTAAATTGTTGTACAACTCCTAAGTGTTTTGCAGCTTTCTGTAATCCTCCCACCTCACTTCGGAGAAATCTGGTTGCTCATTGCTTCCTTCTTCACCAGTAAGGAGGCCCAACTAGAACTCCATGGCAGCTGTGGGTGTAGTACTCATTTCTCCAGCAATAGAAGTGATATTCGTTGCAGCCTGTTTAGTTGAGTCTGGGCTACTTTTGCTTCCACGTACTCTTTGATACCACCGCAAGGTATAAGCCTAATTACAGTGGTCTATAGCCAGAAGGAGAGGCGGGGATTTAGTTACCATTTG